AAGTCAGCTCATGTTAGCTTGAGATCTCCTCTCCACTTACTAAACAATCGACCAATGTACGCCACCATACTAAGACCTATTTGGACATACGAAGTAGAACTTTGGGGTACAGCAATACAAACAGACATAAACAACATTCAAACCACAGAATACAAAATAATTCGTAAAATCGTCAATGATCCTTGGTTTATTTCAAACCACACCATACACACAGACATAAACATACCAAAAGTAAAATTCTACATGCACAACAAGTACACAACACTTCATTCTTCTACTCCCAATCATCCAAATCCACTCGTGCTATCTCTCTCTATCTTCCTCCCTGTTACCTGGTGAGCCTCAACGACGACTAAAAAGGCAGTGGCCTAGATATCTTCTGCTGGCAAGTTAAGAAAATATCAAGAATACAAGAAGATAGAATAAACGCCATCACATTTGTTTGATGCATTACAACGCAGTGACAAATTGAATGGAAAATAAAATAAAAAAATATATATATGTTGGTAAGTGAAAGTAGAAATAATATTAGGTAACAATGAAAATAAAATCAACGTGATAAATTATTATCATATTGAATGACAAAATATTAATGTTTTTTTTTCCATAAAGATGTAAAAAGTGTTAGAAAACTGAGTAATTTAATCCGTTTAATTTTATATCAAGCTTGCAACATTATTGCATAATATGCTGAGTATCGAAACTTACTGTACTCTGAGAGGGCATAGTATCAAATAGTATTTAATTTTGTCGGAGTGAATATTTTTTTAAGTTATTAAAGATTATTAAAGTTTATTAATCTTAAGATTATATATATATAAATAAAAATGTAAATGTTCGTTTGTAACTTCTAATCTCCAAAAGTTCTTCACCGATTGCTTTGCTTCATAAACATTTAATTACCATCCGGCCTTTCTTTTCGGAAAGGATGCCGAAAACCGTGTTTTGCTAAATACTGTAGCGCCTAAACGACTAGAACAATTTTAAAGAAACTTGGATAAAGTCTCCCCTTGAAGCCCTTTTAATTTATGTATATGTACATGCTTTTCCGAAAAGAGTAGGGAAAATATGGTACGATAGATTTAGAACAATATTTGAGAATAACTCAGTAAAAGTATAGGAATTTTTATTGGTACTATTAATATTGATTTAAAAAGCTTCCTGAATTCCCTACAAACTAAAAAAAAAATATTGAAAGCGGACGATTTATTGCAGAGATATAGCGTATTGAACTTTTAAGTAAAGACGATTTTGCTTATCTTAGTTTTTAATTAATCCAACTCTTTACATTACTCAAGTAATTGAGATTATCATTTGAAGAAGTGTTTTAAGTAATCCATATTCAGGTAAGTGTTAACAAACAATTTTTATATTTTATTTTATTTTTCTCTTCGAGGAGGGAAAGTATTATGATACTCCTTATATACGTGTGCTTTCTATATTTTTTCTTCGAAGTTAATTCATAAGTCTTAACATTATTAATCAGTAATTATATAAAATATCCATCAATTGCATATTTATTCACCTTTAACTTTTTAGTTATTTCTTATAAGTTTCCATTCTATTCAATCCAACTGTCTCTTGCTATTAAATGGAAAAAGTGGATGCATGGATTAGATATATCATACCATACGATTTGTGCTCAAGCTGATTGGACAGAACTTCATTTTGCAGGAAGATAACGATCCCAAACACAAAGCCAAAATAAAAAAAAGTTGAAGAGAAGGATAGTTGGAGTGATCAGTCATAATGAAAAATAATATTTATTTTTATATTTGCCGACGTTTCGGCCCGAAGTTCAGGCCTTCATCAGGACCAAGAAAAGAACCAGATAAGAATAGGTAGACTATAAACATTGAATAATAAAGAATTAAAATTAAAAAAGGGAAAGGTATAGACTAAAAAGTGTAGGTAGAAAAACCTTAAAATAAAATAAAGTAGATAGAGTGAACATTAAAGTAGGTAGAATAATAACAGTAAGAAAGAACTAAGAAATAAATAATAATAACGATAACAAAGTAGGGACTAATGAAATAAGCATAATTAAAATAAGGTAACATAAGAAATGAAAGATGGTAATCTTTGAATAAAATGTAAAACAGAGAAAAGGAATATGAAGTTATATAAGGAAATAATAGATATAAATAAAAAATTGAGATATTGTAAAATCGATCAAAATATACTGACGACGTACAAGAGAATAAAAAGTTTAAGTGATATGAATAAGATAAATGAGCAGATTTATCAATATATACAAAATAGAGCTGAAGATATGGAAAATAGACGGGAAAAAAAAAATATGATTTCCTTATATAACTTCGTTTTCCTTTTCTCTGTTTTATATTTTATTCTCTTCGTTGTAAACCAAAGACTGCTTGTCCTACAGTTTCCTTTAACAATACTCCACTTATCCCTGTTGAGCAAATTAGATACCTAGAACTCCACCTTGACAAACGACTAACTTGGAATCCTCATACTAGACTGAAACGACAAGAAACCGCTCGACGTTTCCGACTACTCCAGCATTTACTAGACAAACGCTCTAAACTTCCCATTAATTACAAAAGACTCATATACTTGACTATAATAAGACTTATTTGGACTTACGGAGTTGAGCTATGGGACTCCACTAAACCATCGAATTCCTCTCGCATCCAATCCTTACAATCCAAAATCCTTCGTAAAGTCCCCAATGCTCCTTACTTTGTCACTAATAAAATTATCCATAAAGATCTTAATGTTCCTTATGTTTCAGATCTGGCCCAATCCAGATACCTATCCTTCCATAATAAACTTCAGAATCATCCCAGCCCTCTCGTTTCTATCCTTGCTTCCTCTTCAATTCCTGATGACCCTCCGAGGCGTCTGAAAACAAGATGGCCCCGTGATCTCCTAATGTAGTCATATCATTAGAGTGCTACCATTGGGTAGTTACTCAGCAAGTGTATTCATGTCATTTTATCTATTATGTCCAAATTTACTAGATGTATTTATGTAATACAGTTGTAAATGTCATTAAGAAATAAAAAAAAAAAGAATTGTATTCTAAGATTACCATTTTTCATTTCTTATGTTACCTTATTTTGATTTGATTATTTTTTCTACCATACTTTTCTAGTCGTTTGTTATCTTGTAACTAGTCGGTTATTCCGGTTATTTCAAAATAAGATTATTTGTTATCTCTAGTTTCATCATAATTATTTTATCTCACAGTATCATTTTGAGTCGCTGATAATAATCTCTATTATTAAAACAAACTAAATATAATAATCAGCACGACCTATGCTTAAAATGACTATATTTAATTGATAAGTGATTTTTGGCAACAGAAAAAAAGTATAGATTTATTTTCATAAATTATAATAATAAGCTGTAATTTTTTGAGATTTACAAAGAATTATATATATATATATATATATAGGCTTAATAAAAGACTGATACTAATTGACTCTTTTTTTCAAATCTTCGAAACTGAAAATACTATAGAAATTAGACATACTGACATACCTACTATGTATAAGGCATTAATATTTGTCAAAAAAATATTGTTGTCAAATTTCTGATATGCCTACAGTTGACATTGGATAACTAAAATAAGCAAACTCCACATTTCAGAAATTGCTAGAAAGTCGGAAAATGAAAAAATGAATAAATAAATTGAGAAAATAACCACTAACCTTCACGATTTTCAATTTAAATATTGAGATTGGTAACAAGTACTGTGTGAAATAATTAAAAAAAAATTATCTTGACTTTTATCTGCAAAATATTCAGACACTTGTACCTTAGCTTCCATAATTAACTACAAAGACATACAAGCAGACACTAAATGGGTTATGTTTAATCTTTTAATACGACTTCAGTTGACACGAGGCAACCAAAAAAAAAAAAAAAAAAACGCTGGTTGAGGGATCTTACACGAATTATTGCAGATAAAATACGTTTTTAAGAAATGGAAAAGGTAGAAAAAAAAAACAATCTTGAAAAATATACTATTCTTAAACAATATCTTTTTGTAGTTTTCTCTTTTCTTTTCCTCCTTCCTTTAACTCTTTATGCTATTATACGTAGTCAGTACATTTTGATAGACTTTACAATATCTCAATTTTCTATCTAACTATTCTATTTACAATATCTTAATTTTACTATTTATTTTTATTTCTTATATAACTTAATATTCCTTTTCTCTATAATGTTACCAATATAGTACTTATGTTATCATATTTTGATTATATTTTGATTATGTTTGCTTCATTATTCCATATTATTTATTTTTGCCTCTTTATTTCTGACTGATCACCATCACTTCTGACTGATCATTATTCATGACAGTCGACCCTCAACCCACAATTATTCTTAAACATTCCTTGACAAGCCATAATAAAGTAAGTCGCTTCAAGGTTTAAATTAAAATCGATCAAATAATAAAATTATTAATTTATCAGCTTCCTGAAAGCCGATCTGCCACTTAAATCGTAAACAGTGATAAGGTGTTTTTTTTTACTAAGGTTAGGGGCATCAAATGGAAATATATCGATTAACTGCTTGCGATTAGTATCGATTATTGATTTCGATTTTTAGTGTTCTGCGGGTTAGGAGCCGGCATTTCGTAGAATTAGAAGTAAATTTACAGTTAAAAGACTTTTTGTATACACTTCATATAATATATATATACACGGTTTTTATATTAAATTATAATAATGTTCAATCATTTTTTAAACAACGATAATTTAGAGATATCCATAGTAAAAACATGATCTAGGTTAAAAATAAAAAACGTTACCCATAATTTATTTATCAAGGTATTTATAATAATAAACAAAATAATCTATATGTTATTTGCAATATTAATAATATCCATATAAAATAAATCCAATTATAATAATTATTTATACTACAGAATGAAATAAAAATAGACTTGCAGCGTCACTTGAAGCAATATAAATAACCTTCAGAGCCTGGTTAAAAATAGTTGATTATTCATTTTGGAAAGCACTTACTTGTGTTGATAGATTTCGTCGTAATCTTCCATTAAGTACAGCCGACGTGTCACTGATAATCTTTTCAACTGACCTTCAACCAATAGGAAAAAAGCGCGGGCTTACGTCATTCGGGAGAACTTTTCAAATTAATACTAATTTAACATTTATATATTATAAGCTAATTTGTATCGAAATAATAAGCTGTACATATTTTTTAACAAAACATTTTTTTGGCGCCCTTCTGCTTACACAGAAATACCAGAACTGATTTCAGTTGAAAATTCGAATCCGATTCGTTAACGTTTTTGAGGATTTTATGTTTTATTTTTAGGTTTAGTTCGTGGTACAGACCCCATTTTATCATTTATTGTACTTTTCTCTACATTTTTTTTTCTCTGCTCCTAGGGTATATTTGTGACGAACATCGGGACACGTACCCAATATTTTTTGATGTAGTATTCCAAAAAAAAAAAAATCGGTGTCATCTCCTTTTAAGTTAAACTTAAAATAACAAAGTTTTTTGATCTCTAGATTGAAAAAACTCCAATTCTTAGAATTTTCGTAAATAAAAAATTTATAGATTAAGATAAAATGAAGCTATTCACGAAGTATTAGGGGATGTTAATATTTTGATAAAAAGGGACTAGTATATAAAAATTATTGAAGATAATAGGTTTTCTATATATGGCTGGGACGAATCCAAATCATGAAGCCGGCAACATTTAGTCTAACATAAATCCCCCGCCCTCTCCCCTGGTCGAGGAATAACCCCATATAACCTAAAAATGACTTTTGGGGAGGATAAGAAAAAGAAGGGTGCCAACCTTAATTTTACTTCTCTTATGGTTAAACTCCATTCTCAGTATCATAATGAAGTTTTAAGAACTCGTTCATAATTTTATATAAATACATAACTAATATTACGGACTTAAAACTTACCAAATTGGGCCATCATCTCTATCATCATGTCCAATGTTCCCATTTATAGTGAAAATACCTAAAAATTAAATAAAATAATACCAATATTAATTTAAACACTTCTTCAATTTATTGTGTAAATATTGAAAAGTTAAATGTGACCAGACTCAATATTTAGGTTGACATTGCAAAAAAATCTGTTGAAAATTTATAGTATGAGTTGTTTACTGTTGTTAAATAGAAACTGTCAAACTTTGGGTTAGTATAAATGATTTAAAAAATAAATAATAATACACAACACTTGGGATAAATTTTTAATAAATTATCTTGTATTAAACATCGGATTGGTTAAAAGACTAACTACGCTTTAAATTAAACTATGTGGACAGCAAGCAATTAGAGAAACATGAATTAAAACATATTTACTTTGAAGAACCAATATAGAGAGCAGTGTAGCTCAGTGAGTAAGGCATTATGCCCCTGGTCATTGTTTCGAAATATCCTATTCAAATTTAAATATTTTTGAATACTTAATGGTTGACCGTGGTATATTATTTAGCAAGAAGATAGTCCGGGGTTGCGGTCATAAACTATTATATAAAAGACTAAAATAGTTTTTAGTAAAATAGTTACACATGTATCTATGTAAGTACTTAAGTCGAAGCTGTTGTACCCTCTTAATCTGAATATTAAAAGTTGTTATTGAAACTTACTGAACTGTTTTAGATGCAATGGTTTGCCTGACCAATACCTAGTTTTACATATGTGTGGAATCCACTAATTTAAGCTTTGGATAAAATTTTATTTTTTAATTTTAATCTTGGTTTTTTGGTCTATTATTTTCAATAATGAACTATTGGAATCATAAAAAAATAAAAAATTTAACCTTTCCTCCTCTCAAAATTTGAGGTTTACGTTTCACGATACGTAGAATTCGAAAATGTTTGTTCTCCGTGACTACTGCACCGAATGTTTTCAAAGTCAAACGTCACCCGACGATGATCTTCCAACCTCGGCATTGCTATCCGCCCTTTCGTTTCAAGATGGTGGCAAAAAAGCTGTGTTGTTACAGACTGTAACGCCTAAGCGAATGTACCTATTTCGATGTAAGTTGACTAAAGCCTTCTCCTTGAAGCCCTTTAAATTTATCTATATTACATTATTATATTACATTGTCAAAATAATGTTAATCTGCTCGAGGAGAGATTTCTTAATACTTTATAGAACAAGAGTGCCCAAATCCTCTTGGCTCTGTGTACATAAACGGGTTTTTGGAAGATAGTCCAGTCAAATTAGACATGTTGCTTTGCAAATGGTCGGGTAATTCAAATTTCTTTTTACTTTCACTTACGTATATATGTAATATATAGTAAGGGTAAGATTTTTGAATCTGAGTTTTCAACGGAAATACACGTTTTGGGGTGCCCTGAGTCCAAATGACCAAGTCCGGAAAAATGGTCTGTGTGTCAGTGTGTCTGTGTGTATGTGAACACTCTAGCTCGAAAACGAAAAGTCGTAAATACAAAACTGATATTACGTATTTAAGACAGGTATATGCCCTGGATGTCGCTGCAACCTTTTTCTTAAAATCGGCTAACCGGAAGTGCCACTTTATATCAACGCTGAAACACATTTTTACAGTTTTCTCAAAAACGGCTCTAACGATTTTGATTAAACTCGGTTTATCATTGCATAATTAAGTGGTCTTTAATATCATTTAGGTCTTATCCTCATTGATGTCACTTTACAGGGCTTACATATCCAATGTCCAAATACGTCTTCCTCTAAAGTACCTTTAATATGGTTTATTTTAAAAAGTAAATCATTTCAAACTATTCAGAGTTACGAAAAAATGCTAAATACAAATTTTGAAAGACTTTTGTACGTTAATAAAGGAGAAAAATAAATAAAAATGCAGAAAAACCTGTGTTGCTATAGACTGTAGCGTCTAAACGAATGTACCGATTTCAATGAATTTCATTTTCTTGACGCCCTTTAAATTTATCTATATAACATACTTCAACGAAAAACAACTGGAAAAAAAGTTACGAGGGATGGTAAAATTACATTCCGAATAACTCAAAAAGTATACACTTTTTTGTGGATATTGTGATAAGATGTTTCGATGTCGTATATGTTTTTTTTTAAGTTTACAGAATTTCCTAAAAAAAAAATCGTTAAAATTGGACAATTAGGAGAAAAGATATGGTCTCTAGATTTTTTTAATATGTTCTGTTTCAAAGGTTATATCCTTTGTTTTGGTTTTTGAATTTTGAATGTGTTCTGAAGTAATGCTAATTTTTTTAAGCATATTACTAATGATTAAAAAAAAAGTTTAGTCCAATAATTGGAATCACCTTTTATTTATTTTTCTTTGTAACTCGGAAGACAATGTTACTTTAGATGTATAATTGTTTGGAAATAATAAACTATTTTGAAATAATTAGCTGCTATGTGAAATATTTAGTGAAAAATGCTAAATATAACTTTTGAAAGAATTTGATCATTGAATAAAGGAGAAAAAAATAAAAATGCTTATACAGGTCGAAAATAAATCTGCGGAAATACAAGTCAGAAGGCATACTTATAATATATCATTGGAAAGCGGAGAATTTTAGAAAAAACAATATCTAATATTGAAAGTTGTAGAAGGAAACGGAGAGCGGCGAAAAAATTATGAATAATAATTTTTGAAAACCGATTAGATTTAACGTAAATACCATGTTTTCAAGGAAACTAAATGAAATTTACTAACAAAATGTAAACTTTAAAAAATATTTTTTATGTTTGTAGAAAGTTCAATGTTTCACACCGTTGAACTTTGTAATGTAAACCACAAAGATAATTAGGAATGAACTTAATATGAAACAATCGATAACATAGCCTAAGATGACCACTAATAATAAAATAACTAGATCTTATAGTACTCAAGAATAAACGCAGTGAAAGAAAAAGGGACCCCTGTTAAAAAAAAATACTGAAATTTTCTTTTTGCTGAAAATAATTTCAATACTTTGTAATTAAAATAATTTTTATTTTAGTAGGAACAAAAAGGGACTGTCTGGCCTTTGCAGACGATATAGCCTTCCTAGGAGAAACAGAAAAGAAAGCGATAAAACAGGTAAACGCCCCGAAAGAAATAGCCGAGAAAACTGGACTACAGATCTCGTATGAAAATACAGAAACTATGACGAAGGATGCCAACTATAGCAAGAAAATATTGAGTACAAAATATGGGAAAATAAAAGTAACCACAAAGTTTAAATACCTAGGGGAGATAATATGTAGTAACGGAACGGATTTATTTTCAAGTTTATTTATTATCAGCCATTTTACACCAATTTTCAAAATTTGGTCAACTTAATGACTACACATCTGGTTACGTTTCGGCTCGTTGAGCCATTTTCAAGTCTAAATTTTTTTTACAATTTACAGTCATATTTAAAACATTACATACTTCAACATATAGAGATTCTTTCTATGTACCTAAAATACCAATCATGTACCTGTCCTTTTCAACTTATGCGTATTGCATGCGTCTACTCATATAAAAATTTTTTATTTTTGACATGTCTACCTTTAATTATTTTATAACATTATTTATTATTAAGTGATTCAAATAAGTTAAAATTACCTTATACTGTGTCACCAACATCTCATCAGCCTCATTCAGTTTCGTGACTGCTTATTCTTAAAGGAGTAGGGGAAAACTATTTATTTTAAACATATACCATGCTGTTTCCCAATATTATATATGGACTTATTTTAAGTAAAATTAGCTAATTCATTTCATATTTTTATTATTTCAATCAGACTGTATGATTATTTACCGAGTTTTTAAAATTTTTAGCTATGTATATTGCTTCTTTTATTCTACGTTTATTCATATTACTTTCATTATGTAGGATTTTGGCGTTCAAAAACGCCAAAATCCTACATAATAAATCAAATTCATGTTTAGTTTTGCATAATATGTTGAGAGAGCCCAGTAGCTAACTTAATTTTTGTGTTTTTTGAATTGTTTTTTTTTTAAACAGGAACGGATAAAGCATCAATCGAATGAAGAATGACCAAACTGGAAAGACTGAACTTGGCCCCTAGAAACATCTACAGCAAGAAAAAATTGTCCTCTAATGCAAAATAAGGCACTTCAGTACAGTACTGAGACCAGTGATACTGTATTCTATGGAGACAGTCAGCCTTCCGAGCTTAGGGAAAGTCCTGAAGGTTCAGAGGAAAATTCTGAGGAGGAATCACGGGCCCAAAATAACGCAAGAGGGATATAGGCGAAAATCTAATGAAGAAATATATATATTTAGAAGATCTGGGAAAAGTCATTAGGACAAAGAGACTGAGGTTCTACGGAGACATGGTTGGAATGAACGATGAAACGTTAAACAATAAAATGTCCGATAAAGTCTGCAGCTATAAAAGTATGTGGTTGAGGAAGGGGGGTATGTAAAACAAATAAAAGAGGTTTGGGTTCTTGTAGAGAGGAGGGATAAAATGGACTAAGGAAGAGCGAGAGGACCAGTCCAGGACGATGAAAGACTATTGGACTGCAAGGAAGTCGGAAGATGTGAAGAAGAACAAGAAATGATATTTACGTGGTCCTTGCTGGCCGATTCGTGTCAACAAAAAAAATTGTATTTACAAACCACAAAATACTTGGAAATCTAAACATTGTGTTTTAAAATAATTCTTAAAATAATTTTATTATAAGGTCTGTTAAGAAAGTAGTTATTAATCCTTACCTTGTGGTTCCGGATAAGACGAGAATCCCTTATTCTGAAAAGCCATTTTTAGTCACCTCTTGCACTCATTCGTAATGAATCAAGTAAATAACTCAATAGATGGAGATGGGGGTCCAAAGAAATGTGATAAGAATTTATCGCAAACTGTTGTCAGGCAAGGGCTGAAGAATCAAGGAATAGTTCTGAGGAAAGGATTATGGAATTAAACTATTATGTATAATCCTCTTATCATTTCTTCTAATCTAGAGTTCTTAGTTGGCTGTTCAAGTCTGATTTAAACTGAGATCATCGCTTTCTTCACATTTCATAATACATCATATAAATTTCTTAATTTCCTTATATATTCATTCACGGTTAAGGACACGGAGTGACCGATTTTACTTTTGGTGATACTAGGTCGAAAAATATTAGACACATGTTCCAGGGTTCTTGTCAAAGCGTCCTAAGAGTCAAAAAAATATTTTAAATAATTTCAAACAAAAGACAATAGGTACTTACAGTGAAGTAGCCTATGTAAATTTTTGTGAAAGTGAAAAATGAAAAACATTCGTTTTTTTTTTTGTTTTTTTTTTGTAAATATTAAGGCTTCAACCACTAGAGTCATTATTGCCTTATTTTCATTGAGAATTAGATTGTATTTTCAAGTTTAGAACATTTCATAAAAGAAAATAATTTATCAATTTCATTCGTATTGTCCTGTAAAATGAAGTGTAGATCGTTTGTCAACTCACAAGATAGTCTAAATGTTTCGTAAGCTCTGCATTCTGTTAAAATGTCTTTCACTGTCAGAGGAGTCCACAGGTTTGACATGTTGGCAAAGAATCACGGGCCATCAGGTATCCATGAGTAAGACGTGTATGACCTATACGCAGGCACATAAGAATTAATTCCTCTCTGCGGTTATTCCTATTTGACGATGCCCAAGAGGAAACGTCACCCTTAACCTCCCTCAATTTATTTTCGGTAACATAATACCATATCTGTTCCCATTTTGTCTTCATTTTCTGTTTGATGACAGTCATAAAATCCTCTACAGGTACTCCCCGATAAGGCATTCCAACAGTAATGGCTTTTTTGGCAGCTCGATCAGCCAGTTCATCACCGGCTATTCTGCAATGCCCATGGGCCCAGATAAAAAATACTGATATATTATCTCAATTTGCGGAATTTATTGAGTACAGAATGTTTTGTATGATGATATTTGCTGAGAAAACATTTTCTAGACTAATTATGGCGGATAGAGAATCTGAGCATATGACCATTTTTGTTTAGTGGGCTGTATAGCATTGAATAAACCTTTATTGCAACCAATTCAGCAGTATAATTATTACATAGTGGTAAAAGAGAAAAAATATGTTGACGTTCGTTACATATAACTGATGCTCCCATTGAGGCGTCAGTGTAGATAAAGTCAGAATCATCTAGTCCGTCTTGAAGTTTGAGAAATTCCTACTAAAATACTACATCTGGCCAAAATAAAACAATAATAAAAACGACCGTCATGCGCTTAGTTCTCTCCAGTTACCAGATTATGGAAATCCTTCTTGGAGAAATGAAGATAACGGTCAGTAGTTTCCCTCGGTGTGCTAAAGTCGGTGAAGCAAAAAAAAAAATGCTCAGCATTTTTACTTAACACTGCAACTTGAGCAAAAAATATTGATTTCAATGACGACCAGATGGTGGAAAGATATTTTCCAGATAACTTTATTTTTTACATATCGTAGAGAAATATATACTACATTTTACATATCTTCGGCACCATGCTATAGTAACGACTTTGAGAAAAAATAATGTGATAAGAAAAATGTCGGTCCTTTACGAATTTATAGCTTTTTTAGATATGCAAATGTTGTAGTAACGAGTAATCATGATCGAAAGGTTACATTACATTATCAATTCATATTCGTTACTTTAATATGGTGCCGACGATATGTGAAATGTATTATTATATATTTTACTGTCGTAGTTATCACCCATCGCCGATTCCACTCTTGGTACCTTTTCGGGTCCTCTTTTTCCATTGCCTGGGGTTCTAGGCAATCTTCATCCAGACATTTCTTAGTAGATCAGCTGAGCCTTCCCTTTTAAGAATATTCTTTAATCTATCTTTAAAGGGATCGAAAGTGTACTGTTGTTGGTAAAACCTGCTCCTCTTCACGGTACACAATCTGGTACGAGTTATTGATAGTGGTGTAAAGTAAAGCCATCCGTTGATTCGTACCGACTAGGCCTTCTGCCGATGTGAGTTCTTGAACCAGGCAATGGACATTGTACATGTTATAGTGAAAAAAAAAAAAATAAAATAAAAAAAAATATATATATATAAGTTAAGGTCCGGTGTGAGATAGATAAGACTTTTAAGACTTAATATTATTTGTTTCAATTAAAAATAAACACATTATTATTTCTTGCAATTTAAAATAAACACATGTTAAAAGATATACTGTTATAACCTTTTTGAGTTAGATACTACTGTTTTGTTAAATAAAAATTATTGAATTATTTCCAGTTATTTGTTTCTTCATTTTTCTATTTACCGAAGCCCATAGTTAAATGGTGCCGAAACCCTTGTGTTGCCAGGATTTCAGTATTAGAAGTATACGTGAGTATCGTATTATTTTTTTTTACTTGTTCACGCTAAGAAAGCTAAACAGTGAGAGATGCTAAATCAGCAAGTGGAATGGCAAATCCCACCAATGCCAAGAGACACGTTAGTGGAGTCTCATGCAAACACTCTGGCTTGGTTAAAGGTGCGGGCAGCAACTTCTCAAAACTTGAGAAAAGCGGTCTCTGATTTAGAAAAATTCACCGGGGAAACCGGTGAATTGAACCATTTCCTAAAAGCCGGTGATCGGTTGATGGGGCGGATTGAGGTGAAAATAGCAGAAGAACTAATTGACACAGGAGATGCGAATTCAATTAAGGCAGATCTGGTTTGCAGAGTCAAAAGGAATATTCTTAACCTCATCCAAGCCGACGAAGAAACCCCTTGGGCGATTATCAAGGAGAGATTAAAAAAGGCGTATGGAGGCGGAAGATGGACACCAGAAGAGGACATATTTCACATGTTTCGAGAAAGAAGACAGCCTAAACAAGCTTATGGGCAATATGCTGGAGTCACAATATAAAAAGATAATGGCAAAGATGCGTGAAACTGAAGGCGGCTATTCTGAGGGCGGCGTTCTGTACAGGATCTAGAGTTTTAAAATGGTACTCGATAACGAGTTGTAGGCATTACAGCCGTAGTCCAATTTCGATCTTATTAGCGTCCTATACAGAGTTAGCATGCTTTTTCGATCGGCACCCCAATTAGTGTTACTGACCATTCTTAAGATATTCAGGGAGTGGAGGCAACTTGCTTTTAATTGTACAACAAGAGTCCATCTGAGCGTTCTATCAAAGGTCATTCCTAAGTACCGTACAACGTGAGAGAAGGTGACTGGTTGATTGTTTATGGTCAGTGATGGTAATAAGTTCAGCTGCCTTTCGCTAAACAGAATCGCAACTGTCTTACTTGATGAAATTTTAAAATCATTATCAGCCAGGTACTGACGTTTTCCAGAGCAGAGTGTATGTTATCTTGTAAATCCATTACATTTTTTCCCTCGGTATACATTACAAGATCATCAGCATGGAGCAAGCCTATGACAGGTAGCCTAATAACATTCAACACCTGATTAAATCAAATGCAAAAAAGTGTCGTGCTCAATACACAACCCTGGGGCACTCCATTCTCCTGTTCGAATCCATGAGAAAGGACATTACCAATCCTTACCATAAAAGTTCTATTTGTTAGAAAATTATTTATGAAGGCAAGTACATGACCATCAATTCCAATTCTAACCAGAGTATCAATTATTAGCCTTCTCCATGTCCTATCGAATGCATTTTCTATGTCAAGAAACACAGCTAAATTTTTTTTCTTGTTTTCAAAGGCATTTAAGATATTATTCTCTAAACGAACCAAATTATCCCTCCTACTTCTCCCTTGCCGAAAACCATTCTGCCAAGGTGGCAGTACATTTGTAGTATTCTTTAAATTCTATTATTGAAATTCTATTTTTTATAGATATTAAAAAATGCAAATTCCAGTTCTTCATTTTCTGAGAATATTACATTTACACTAACATGGAACCCACATACCAGAATTAAAACACAAGAGCTTAACCGACGACTTGGCCAGTTATACAGACTACTTAACAGAAAATCGAACCTCTCAATTGAAAACAAACTATTAATATACAAGAACATACTGAAACCCATCTGGACCTACGGACTTGAACTGTGGGGGACAACTAAATTATCGAACATCAAACGCATCCAATCCTTCCAGTCTAAAATCCTCCGTATAATAGTCAATGCTCCTTATTATGTTACGAACAAAACCTTACATCATGACCTTAACATCAGAACCTAACCTATCATCCTAATCCCTTAGCACAATCCTTATCTAGTTCCAGTCATCCCTACAATCCTCCTCGAAGGTTGAAGTGGCAGTGGCCTCGAGATCTTTTGTAAAGACGTCATTGGAGTCCTGGCAATGGCCAGCTTCTCCACTCAAGTCATGAACGTATGTGGCTTTAGTGGCCTCTCTCAGTCTCCACTGGATTCCCATCCTAGTGATGCGGCTGAGAGAGAAGCGCTGGGATCTCTTGGAGTCTTGCCTTGTCCTCCACACGTGGGGGAAAAGGCCCTACTCGGAGCTCCCTCGGCTGACTGTAAATATTGTAAATAAGTTTGAATGTGTTTTTATTTATTATTTATTATTTTTTATTTTTTTTTTTAGTTTTTATTTAATGTTATATCAGTTTGATTTATTCTGTTACTCCAAGTTTTATTTTATTTTATTTTCTTATAATCTTGTTGTTCTTTTATTGTATATATGGTATGATTGTACTTCATTCATCATAAATACTCAATTGCCCTTAATTGAGGCAAAATGTATTTTTTTTGTCAATAAAAAAAAAAAATACATTTACAGCCATAAACTATAGCATTTAAAACATCTTATGATTTTATCCAAATTCAACTTCAACGTTTGTATAACCTTTGGAAAGCTGAATTACTGTTCTTCCATTTATAATTTAAATTTTTTTTTTTTTAAGCTAAAAATCCACAATAACCTCAATGAATAACCAACTGGCTGAAATAGAGCAGGTTTTCTATTTTTATTGGAGAGAGAGTTTGCTCTCCCCCACTTACACAATTATGCGTCTATCATAGCTATATTCTAGCCTCGGAAACGTTGCAGAGAAAAAGCAGAAACAATAATATAAACAATTGTATACTTTTTTGTTGGCTCCTAGGGAGCATTGCAGAGAGCACTTCTGTCATAATTCTGATATTTTTCGACCTAATATCACCAAAAAATATTCCATTAAAATCTGTGATCCCACTTCTGTAACTTCTCAGTAAGAAAAGCCATTGAACTTCTATTATGTAAGATTTTAAATAAACTTTTTTTTTGCAGCAGAGTTTCAAAGACATCAATCTGTCACAGTAATGCCACAATAAGTTATCAGCTCGTGAATGTTATTATAGAGCAATAAACAGTATTAAGCTAATCAACTAGCCCACTAATCCAAACATAGAAATCAACTGATATGACTAATGTAAGATAAGTAATTTATTTCTATATATATTTGGATTAATATATCAGAAGCACTGAATATTTGTTTGTTTTAGTTTATTATATTTTTGCTATGTCTGTATCTAGCATTGACGAAATAATTACTGATACATTTTTCCTATTTTACTTTATAACTATTACTCCTATTTTTCTTTAGCTATTTCCGCAATACTCTTTATATCATTTTAAAAACTCAGTTTATTACTTTTCTGGAATTATACATATTTGAGAGTAACACTTGTGGTAAACTGCAGAAGAGAGTTTGATATTGTGCCATTGTAATTTTTTATTGAGGCACATTTTGACAGAACTTTGAATTTTTAAGTGGGGCACATTTCGACAGGGTTATGAAATTTCAGATTGAAAAGTTTCAAATCCAACAGTACCAGAAAACAAAGGAAATATACAGAACCTTAGCGAGTGTAATTATATATTTTTATAAAGAATTCATTATGGCATCCTGAGATAAGCCTCTCCTGCGTGGAGTCATCATCTCTCGCATCAACAGAAGAAATGGTTGTCTCTGCTGCCGTTCACAAGAGCGTAACGGACAATGTCTCATGAGGCGGAACTACTCCTATTGATCTTTTTCTATGAGAAGACTACTTTCGGCACAACATGAAAAGAGAAGGCCAGGTGGATCTCCATGTGTGGATAAGTAAAGACCCTAATAGATGGAATAGCATTCTTCAGGAGAACACATTAAAAAAATGAGGGGGCGGGGTGGCCGAATGGGCTAAAGCGTGTGCACTGCACCGCGAGTTGCCTGGCAACCGGATAAGAGATTTGAGAAGATTATAAAAGCATGAGTTAGCATCCCAGTGCCGGAGGAGATTTTAAATTCCCCGCCCTCACCCTCTGGCCCAGGAAAATCCCGTATAGCCTAAAAGGTGAGGTAGGGAAGAACAAAAAAAAAAAAAAAAAAAATTAAAAAAATGGAACCAGTGGTGGGTGACGACGCCAAAAGGGACTAAGCTAAGAAAATACTTCCTCACCATTGGTTCAAGAATGGAACAGACATGGGTTCTTCGGTTCTTCAGTTCTTCACAGTATGGGGGTTTCTGAGCAAAGCTAGTTGAATATGGTAAGAACATTGATCCCCTATGGCCAAGTTGCAGAGTACCAGAAACCAACTAGCATATTGTACTTGTCTGTACTGCCTTTGAGGCACTGAGGGCTAAGTTGTTGAGGGAGACAGGTCTTTATGTTCTGACAGAGAATAATCTCCCTCAACTAATGACTAAGGAGAAATACCTGTACTACAAGGCCTTTGTATACAGGTGGAAGGAACTCGTTGGTTCAACCCACTTTTCATTAGGAAGAAGAGATGAACCTGCATCGGGAAAACTGCCAGAGAGAATGGAAAAGGACGTTGGCTGAAAAGAACAGGCTGTGTGCACAGCTGAAAAATAAAAAAAATTATAATTGGTCTGAATGCAGCAGTGACTTTTAAAGCATGTGTTGCTACTCACTGTTGCATAACACCCATATTGCCTTATCGGCAGAGTAGGATTTAAATGAAAAAATAAGTATAATTGTATATGATCTACATTTATTTTATTTCTAATGTTTTTAAGAAGAAGAGAGTAATATAACAGCTTAAGAAGGGAAGGAGGAAGGATCATGCACTATCAACCTTGGGTGGGGGAGGGGAGAGAGGGCATTCCAGGAGGTTAACAGTACTGTTAATATTCTTTGTTACAAATAGAGCTTTCAATATTTTCTATTTTACTTATGTTTGCTCCAAGAAGTATTTTAAAGTTATCAAAATTGAGTGTATGTTGCTACATTCCAAGACATTTTTATTTTATTTTCTATCAGTAATAAGATTGCTTTATTTTAATATCAAGCAGTTTAACTAACATAAACTAATTTTGAGTATTTTCGTGAAGAAATATTTCCTGGCTTCTTTTGTTTATTAACGAGCATCTGGACAAATTTTATATTAAAGAAACAATAGTAGAAGTTAGCACCAAGGAAAATTATTTTACGAATGCTAACTAATGTTAAATATTTCTAATATTTTAGAAATATTTATTAATTTATTTTTGGTAAACAAAAAGGTACTAACAGATTTACGATTATGCCAGTGGTTTAGGTTAAGTGAACAATGAACATCTTTCAAAAATGATTATTTGGTAAAATTTGCTAAAAAATTAAGGAATGAATAAATAGAAAATGAATAATATTCAAGTTGTCTTTTAATTTATTCATTTATTATTTAAAATTAAGAAATATGTGTTGGTATGAATAAAAATATATAATTTTAAGAATGTTATTTATTCAAAGTTCCATAACAGGCTTAACTTAAGAGTATTGTATTTTAATAATAATAATAATAATAATACAAAGATCACTGATAAAATATAATAAATATTTCCATCCTGCTTCACAGAAAATTAACTTAACTGTATCTGACTTCAGATAAAATTCTTCTATAATTAACAAAATTGTAATCTATATTCTTGGTAATAATAATTGAGAGTATTATTAGTAATTATATATGGTGGCCCATGACTGAAGATTCCCATTTACATAAAAAGTATTTATACATAAAAGTTAATGTAGCATCTATCTGGCTCTCAGAGATTAAGAAATCATTAATTTCCATTATAATAAGCATACAAATGAATATCAATGTACTCTTTGGTTGAAAACAACTTTTTAAATAAGTATAATACTGAAGAAAAACAATACTCGACTGAAATTAAATGTAAAATACACTAAACTAATAAATGAAACATAAAAAATATGAGGTTGATAAAAACGTTACAGAATAATACAAAATGTGTCATATATTCATATAAAGGTTAAATGTTATGAATGTCTGTTAGAAAGCATTTACAGAGATTGATTTTGTTGATTGTTTGAAAATTATCTAGTCATGTATAATCAGGATTTTAAGTAAAAATTTTTAACTCACATTGCTATTATTTCGAACTAAGCATTTGGGTTATCATCCGGGCTAAAAATTAAAAATCATAACAGAAATATAAGGTGTAGATAAAAGTAAATAAATAAGTAAAGAGAAAAAGATAACTAGTGCACATAAAATAAATAGTAAAACTTAAATAAAGAAGAAGCACGCCTAAAAGTGAGGGAAACTCCCTTCGTCTCCCGACCCCAATCTACTTATATCATGTCGCTCAGCTCATTCCTTGATGCTATGGTATATAGAAACCTTTAGTAATTATTAAGGTAATATTTATATTGGTTACTTTTTTATTTACTTATAATATTGCTCATCAGGTGGAACGACAATACAACTTTAAATTTTGTGAAAAATATTTATTACATTAAATTGTCGGAAAGATGTGTTTAATTGAATTTACATCATAGTACAATAAAAGAAAAATTTTAATGGATAGAAGAACTTTATAATAATCAATGTTTTAAATTGTGTAATATATTTAATAATAATTCTAATTATTTTGATTCCCCTATTATGATTTGCTCTTTTTAGTATGATTTGTAGTTTTATCATTATTCTGTTGGATGAGCAATATGATTTAGCTTATACCTTCTTAAACTTATTCAATCATATTCTTTTTACTTACTAAATCTTACTGTATAATGTAGTTTTCAAATTAATAAATTCACCTCATTTATTCTAAGCCCTAGTTGTTTTATGCATATTTCTTTTTTTTATTTGTACTATTTACTGCTTACAGAAACTTGTCAATCAATTTCTGATGAGAGAAGAGAATGAGGTTAAGATGGTGGTGGGGCAAGTAGCTCAAAGTAATCCATATGGGAGCCTCTATATCACAATGGATGCCTCAATAGTAGGCCAGAGAACAGGTATAAGGCCAAAAACAAGGTGGATAAATTGAATCAAAGATAGCTGGAAATAAACAGCCCAAGATAGGCAGAGATGGTATATTGCCAACAGAAAAAAAATTGTTTATCCCAGCTGTTTAACTTGGCTTATTCATGTAGACTCTCACTGATCCGAATCTCACTAAATGGACCATTCCATAATCCAAATCAATCATTTAAAAAAATGAAGATATTATTTAAATTAAATTGATTAAGCATGAAGAAGTTGTACCATGTTTCAACAAATGGATCCCCAATAGGTAATAGAAAACAATGTAATCCTTAGTCAATTTTTAAATAACATATCTTTGGAAAAATCAGATTAGGGAAAACATATTTAATAGAGTTTCTTTTTTTTTGGTCTTTTTTGATTTTTCAGATTCTATTGCTGAAACAAATATGGTCAGACAGAGGCCTTGAAAAAGACTATTTCATGTTCCAAACAAACTAAAATTCCAGATTATTTCACAGGAAAATATTTTTTTTTTTTTTAATTCTGAACAATGATTAATTATTGTAAAAAAAATTTTATGTTAATAAATTCATAATTTTTGTTTTTAAATTGATTTGTTTTTTATGAAATGGCCTCTTTTCTTAGATTTAAGAAAACTTACTTAATACAGTTTTTTTTTTTTTTTGTTCTTGTTTGATTTTTCACATTTTATTACTAAAGCAAATATGATCAGGGACCTTATTTCAAGTTCCAGACAAATGTTTTAATGTTTATACATTTATAATTTTGTTTTTAAATTGATTGATTATTTATGAAGTGATATTTTTACCATTCAATAATCCTAATTTTTCGCTAATCTAAATCCCTTTAGTTTTGAATTAGTTTGGATTAGTGAGAGTCCACTGTCTATATCTTATATTTCTGATGTAATATTTAAGTTTTTATCCCTAAAACCTTCATGCTTGGATCAAAATATCGGCAACTAAAATAAAGTAGTTTAACTGAAAAGCCTGACCACTCATCTTCTTAGATATTTTGTAGACATATGTTTATTAGCTTTTTTTTTTATTCTAGAAATGGTATGAGCAATACACACTTAAACTATCCACCTTCGGTCATGAGACATCTTCTACACAAGGAGTATTGTTATTTATTAAAGCTCTGAACCATATTGTTCACTGCTCAACCGCAGACGTTAACTATCAATGGGTGTAGTATTGGGCTTATTTGCTTTCTTGAGGAGGATTGGTCCCGTTAGGGATATCGCTATAGAGCCAATAGGAGCTGTTACAATGATGGCAAGAACGGCTGTCGTTAGAAGTAACTTCGCTATGGGCAGGTCCGGGCTGTCGGGCGTTTCTCTCAACTGGTCCAGAGGCTGAGGTGATAGTGCGGCTTGAACTGTCGCCTTCGGTAGCCAAGCCATGTTCACAAATAACACCTCCTTCCAGTTCAGATCAACATCAAGAAGGCATATCACACAGGCTGCAAATCGGATCTTTAAAAAAAAAATAAATAAATAAAATAACTAGATGAAGTAGTTGCATAGTAAGGATAATTGATAACTATGATAAATATTTAAAAGAAAATTAAAATTTTAAAAACTCTGATGAGCTGCAACTTTTCACATACAAGTCTACTTTGAGTAGACATTTTTTTTTTAAGTTGATAAACCTTGAGAATTTTACTTTAATTATAAATTCTAACTGCAGAGCAGGATGGCTCAGTGATTTAGGCACTGTGATGTTATGCTCAAGATTCTAAGTTCGAGTTCGGCTGTGGCAGGTAATTATTTATTATGTTACAACAGCCATGGATCAACCCTGTGGTCTGGCTAAGACTTCCCTGGGGCACAACCAGACTTTATAAAGAAGGTGATTATAATTAAATAATTGATTAAGAGGAAAAATCTATCTAGCAACCTTTGTAAATATGAAAGACAATTTAGATCAATTATGAGAATTCTGTGCACAAAATAAATTTGGTTTATTTAACTGAAAAAAATATAGTTTTCCAAATATTTTCCATGCATATTATTTTCAGTTTCTATTTAAATGTTTACTTTTCATTCAATAATATAAAAGTATGCAATATGATCTACAACAATCGAAAATCATTAGCTTTTTACTATATTCTCCATTAGCTTCTATGACCACGTAAGTTAGGTATTAATTTATCAAAAATCTTTAGATTCCTAACAGTATATTATACTAACACTATTGTTTTCAGAAATGTATTATCTATTATCTATTATTATTATTAATTTATTATTTTCAACAAGTAAGAATATCATCCCATTTCCTTTTAGTAATTTATCATTTTTATTATGTAGTTAATATTTAACAGTGTATATCCTTCCCTATGTGAATTGTGGCCACTTATATTAAAAAATGATCAACGTCTTAAGGTTTTTGAAAGCCTGAAGGTCATATACATTGTGAAGAATTAAATGGAGTGGTAAAATTTTTGGACTTAGTAACGGAAGAATTCTTAAAAGTTAATATTTGATATCTCTTGCCGACTAGTAAACATCCAAGAAGTATACCAAAGTGAAGTAGGGAAGATTACATAAAAGCTGAACAGTGACTGGCAGAGGGACGTGTGTAATAAGCGGTTGCTGGTGTCGGCATCGAACCTTCTGGTCGCTAAGCCTTTTAAGCTTATTATTTATCTCCTTCCCTGGTTTTTGTAACATGAGTTATGACATAATTATAATTAGGTATGTGTAAACAGTGTAATATGATAAATATCGTATTTTTCATTATCATATTCATAATTATCATATCACATGTTTATATTGTCAATAATATTCTTCAAAATGCACAGACTTTTTATTCCATTTTCACTCACTACTGATATCCATTTCACTCCTTGTCTCTAGGATGACTACCATTGTGTAATCTCTTTCCGGATGCATTTCAGGGGCTGGTCTTGTTCGAAGATTAAAATGGACTGGGTTCACTGCCATTTTCCACGCTTCAAAAAAACCTTTGAAGTCTTGGTAATTATTCCTGTTCACCAGTTGAGGGTAAACAATTTTCTTACAGGTCATATAGTCCAGTTTTCATCCCTGGTCTTTTGTACCATGAAGGAGGTGCATTTTATGTATACAATGTGCTCATTAGATTTCGGAGTACCATAGAAAAGGTATGAAAGGATTATCAGCTGTTTAACTACAGGTTTGTGGTATTTTCAAAAGACTTGTTCTTTTCAGTTACTTCTCATCTATTTAATACTCTCTCATTCTAGACTTTTCTTTTTCCTACCTACCTATATCTATTATGAGAATATGCATTATTGTGATTTTCTGATAACTAAAGAATATACCTTGATACAACTGATGGCATGATTGAAAAACTAATGTAACATATGGCATCAAAGGACTACTATATTTTTGTAGTATTTGTACTATTTTTGTGGAAATTGCCACTTAGAAAATAAACGCAATCAATCTTTTGTAATCTAATAAATCTGAGCTAAAGAATTAAATTTATATATCATACATACAATTTAATATACTATAAAAAGCATTAGTACTTACTACAAGACTCGACAAAAATATAACGACACTTTGAACTAGAAGTGAAACTTCTATTATCGTCAGGTCAACCTCAGCACCAATCAATCCAAAAAGAGCTGGTTGGACGATAGCCCATATGCTGCTGAATTTGTCTGATACAGGGTTCTAAATAAATAAAATGACATTATTAAATATATAATAGGTAGATTTTTTTTTTTTTTTTTTGCTTCATTTCTTAATCACTGTACTCTGGGGAATGATTCTATACAAAATTTCTAACAAAAAAGTTCATTTCATACATTAAAATACTAATATTCTGTTTTTCTTAGGGTGGTCACATTTTTATTTAATAAGAAGGAATTGCTCAATAACTGTTCATGATAATTAAATTCTAAATACACCATCGTAAAGTAGACAACAATTTTTTTTTAGATAACTGTGGTTAATTCATTAAAGTCAATGAAAAAAAGGACTTTTAGGAGGTACAGAGATATATTGCTAGAATATGGGTACCTTAACTGTAGTTGTGCTGTATTAGACTTCCAGAAAGTCCCTTTTATCATTGACCTTACTAATTTTTTATTTTTTTATTCATATGATATTTACAACTGTATACAAAAAATACATCTAGTAAATTCGCACATGGATATAATGACATGAAATACATGTTGAGAAACTACCCATTGGTAGCACTCTAATAATATGTCTATATTAGGAGATCATGTGGCCATCTTCTTTTCAGTCACCTCGGAGGGTTATCAGGAATTGAATAGGAAGTAAGGTTAGAAACGAGAGGGTTAGGATGGTTATGAAGTTTATTATGGAAGGACAGATATCTGAATCAGGCCAAATTGGAAACATATGGAACATTAAGATCTTTATGAATGATTTTATTTGTGAAAAAGTAAGGAGTGTTGAGGATTTTACGAAGGATTTTGGATTGTAAGGATTGGATACGAGAGGAATTTGAAGGTTTGGTGGAGCTCCATAGCTCAACTCCGTAAGTCCAAATAGGCCTTATTATAGTCATGTAAATGAATCTTTTGTAATTAATTGGAAGGCTAGAGCGTTTGTCTAGTAAGTGTTGAAGTAGTCGGAAATGTCAAGCTGTTTCTTGTCGTTTAAGTCTCGTATAAGGATTCCAAGTTAGACATTTGTCCAGATGGAGTCCTAGGTTACTAAATTTAATCACAATTGTCTCAAAAAAATGTTGTCTACTTTATGATAGTGTATCTCTAATTTAATTATCTTGAACAGTTATTGAGCGATTCCTTCTTATTCAATAAAAAACCATGACTACCTTCAGAAAAACATGAAATAGGTCTTAACTCCTTTTTCATTCGGAATCGGCCCTTGCATCAAATGAATTTTTTTTGTTGGAAATTTCGTCTAGGATCACCTCCAGAGTTTAGTCATTAAGAACTGATACAACTTGTATATTACGCTTGAAATATAGAAAAATACTCTGAAATTCAGTTTCAATTTAATTTGATCATTACAAGACGCTTTTAGGGTATTGCACCATATTCATCTAAAACATGCCTTTCTGGTCCTTTGGTTTCTTTTTTTTTTCCTCTTAGATCAGATATATTTTTAATATCACTATGACAATCAACAAATGATTGAAAAGGAAAAACAATTTTGAAAGAACTACTTCAAAGTTGGTGAATACAGATTAGAAATTGATAAGTAAATTTTTACAGAATCTTGGTGACAATTGTGAATTGTAACGTATGATGTATTAAAAGAGGTATATGTACGTTATATGGTGCAATGCATTCAAAGCTCCTTGTGAGTATAAAATGAAATTGAGGCTGAATTTAAGATTTTTTTCTATATTAAATTGTCATTTTTAAGTAGATATTATTAAAATCACTAAGTTAAGCAATATTTATTACCTGAGAAGGAGAAAATGATCCAAAATTATTCCAAATAAAGTTAGCTACAAAGGCAGAGGTGATAGCGGCGAGGGGTCCAGCTCCAGGTATTCCGAATTCATGGCTGCCGACGACAGCTACAAATCCACCTAGTCCTATCAGTGCAGTCTGCTTCCATTCTCCCTGTATCAAGTAAAATTTTTAAATTCATTTGATAAGATTGAGATATGTTATTAAAAATAAAATCACTACTTATTATTACACAAGTTTATTGTCTCATAATAGCTAAGTTGCCAAATAAAGACTGCAATACTGTACTTTAAAACAGCTGAAAATTAGAAGTGATATTCAAAACATGTTCTATGAACAAGTATCAAACAAATGGATAGCCATTCAATAACGTATAAAAAATAAAAGAAAACTTCTTGATCTATAAAGCCTTGGCTAGGAAAAGCAGACATTAAGAAGTTATCCTAAACTGATTGAGGAATCGTCACACTTCCTTTATGGAGGATACTTGATGAGAGGTATGAAACCACCTTTCTATATTTTCAGGTTTTAATTTTAAAAAATATACTAAAAATACAAGAAATAAATAAATACTGCTAAAATTTTTACAAACAATTATATATAAGAGTTTCATAAACTGTTATATTATGATTTTTGTAATAGTGTTGCTCAAAAATGGTCTTGTTCCTGCAATCAAAGTCAAACTGAAACTTGAGCATTATTGAGTTTTTTGTTGGTATTGATATTTGATGGATACTTGATAACTTTAAAGCTACAATTCCATCCATCTAAGAACCAAGATGGTTGTTATAACACTAAAAGCTATTGAATCGATTACACTGGTCTGCATCAAAGTACCATAAATTTATTTTTTAATGTATCCAGGTATGCTAAACACGAATCGAAAACCAAAAAATTTCTACCAGGCACTATTTCATCTCAAATTTGTATTATGCTTCAAAAAACGAGGTGTTTTTTGATATTTTGGACATTAGTTATCATTGAAAACTTCAACAAAAAATGGGAAAAAAAATATATAAATTTTGAAGCTCCTACAATGTATTACAACATGAAAAAAATTCAAGAATTCATGTGTTAGGATCAAGATTTTTTTTGGCCACAAATCAGTACTCTATCTAAGGGCCTGGAATTTAAAGAAATTAAATACAAAAATTATATGAAAATAAAGAAGAGCTATGTCTGAATTTGAAAACATGTGTCTACAATTTTAGTAAAAGAGCTACAAATTACAAAGATATTGTTAAAGAATTGTTGTTATCATATAAGACCAGGGGGTTGTATAGAACATGTCATTAAAAATTACATTTTTTGCACTCTCATTTGGATTTCTTCCTTTTTAACTTGGGAACAGTTTCAAATGAACATGGAGAATTGTTTCATGAAAATATAGCCCAAATGAAGAATAGGAATAGCGGTAAATGCAATGAAAATATGCTTTTTCTGACTACTGTTGGATACTGCAACGGAAGACAATATAATGAGAAGAACAGTATAAAAAAAAAAAAAAAAATGTACACATCGACTAGGCCTAATCGACTAAAGTTATATTATGTTCAGGATTAAATATTTTATTTATTTTTATTATTCACGAGAAAATAAATAAATAAATGAAGTAAGAAAAAACATTCTATTTCAGTATGTTTTGTTTTTTCAAAAACTGATGCATGATATAATTTTTTGAACTTTAAATTTGAACTCAGAACACGTGAAACTATAAAAATCAGGAAAAAATTCTCAAGGGAGTGAAAAATATATATATTTTTTTTTTTGCAAAACATTTTTATTATATTTTAAGGTAAAGTATAAAGTTTTAACATTCTAACCTTAAATTAATACTGAACAGCAGTTTTTCTCTTGATTAATTGTCTATTTGAGCTTAGCTCTCCAAATAATAACAAAAAATTAAACATTTGCCAGGACTGCAGAAAGAAGAAAAAAAAAAAAATTTGTGAATAAAAATTAAATCAAAGAATTTAACAGGACACTTTTAAAGCATTGTCAAGTTAATTTTATTAATTTGGTTGGACTTTACTATGTCTATGAAATGGAAAAAGATTTTTATTATCCTGGGACTGTTGTCCCTTTAGGACAAATTATAGATATGTAGGAAATGTCTTTGTGGTCATAAAATGAAATTAAATGTTCACAATTCTCATTAAAATTAAAATATTGGAAGAAAAATAAAACAAAATCAAAAACAATAAATACATACAGATATATATAGTACAAACATGTGAAAATAAAATAACATAATTAAATAAAATCTTAAATACTTAAAAAGTTCTCTTATCTACTTTTCATGATCAATCGGGTTGGGAAAGAAGTAGGTGCTTAAAAAAAAGAGATTTAAATGAGGAAACTGATTGCGCATGTCGGATATCGGGAGGGATGGTATTCCAGGAGGAGAAGGCTTGAATTATAAAGGATTTGTCAAACGCAGCAGTTCTGTGAGGAAGTGGATAGAGGTCAGAAGTACAGGATCTAGTGGGGCGGGATTGAATGGAATATTTAAATTGTAGGCTGTGAAAAATATAGGAAGGCTGCTGAGTTCTGATAGCTTAGTAGAGAAAGGTAGCAAGGAATTACAGACAGTGGTTGGATGGATAGAGCCACTTCAACTTTTTATAATACTGGGTTATATACATATCTCTTGAGATTCTGAAAACAAAACATAATGCGCAGTTCATTAGACGTTTATGTTTGGCCTCGAATTCTTTCGAGAGTCTGCCGTAGACCAGATAGTAGAAGTGGGGGAACACACGGGAGGAAACCAGGAATTGACGGGATTTATATGGAAGGAGATAGCAGAGACGGTTAAACTGTTTCAGGGTAGAGATAGTACGACGGGAAATTTTGTCTTTGTCGATATAAGCTCAAAATGTGTCCACTCAGTTGTGTTCTAAAACCTAAACCGACATGTTTAATAAAAAGCAATAGGCTATTAGGTAATTGCAAAACTTGCGAGACTCTTGCTGTAAGACCAATACAGAAACTGAGTATGCAATACCAAAACCAATAACAATACTGGATATCTTGTCTTGGTCTTGGATTTGGGCAACACTAATTGTATTAGTACACAACATCGAAGCTATATTGAATATCGACTGTATAGATAAAGTAAACAAAGTTTAATATTATATGATGGGAGTACAAAAAGTACCTTCACAAAATTGTTGATCATAGCCCATGTTATATTAAGTGTTTCTTTTTAGTTTACGTTAAAAGTAATATTTTGTTTGCATATATACATATTTTTATTTTTTATTGTTCTACCATAGTAACAGGTTTATTTAACTATCATTATGCAGTAATCGTTTTATGTTTTTAATTTTTATTGTTTTTCGTGCTTTGTAAAACCCATTATAAACGGAAAATATTGTAAAGTTTATTTATATTTAAATGATATGTTATGGTATGTAAATTTGTAAAACCATATTATTGTACAATAGCCAAGGTAGGCTCTATTTGTATGAGGAACCCCCCAAAAACAAATAAAATATCTATCTATCTATCTATCTATCTATCTATCTAATTGTATTAGTATATTATGTATTGGATTATAATATAAGGCAACGTTAATTATATGTATGAATAAAAATAATTATAAAATAATTATAAAAAAAATGAATAGATAGTTTATCAATTTATGTTGAGTTTATACCTCACTCTGCGTGCCGAGGTAGCCACACATTGATCCCCACACACTCCCTCCAACTAGCCCTCCTAACAGCTCTAATGGGCCTTGTAATATTGCCATTGTCATGTCATCTGTTCAAATCAAAACAAACATAAATATTAATCATAATATTAGTAAATATTAATAAACAAATATAAAAACATATTATAAAAATATTTTACATAGAGAATGTTTTCATAGACATTTCTACCTAATCGGACTGTAAAAACGTTTTATTTTTATTTGCAGGTTGTAATAACTAAGAAATCAAAAGCATTTTTCAATTTTTAACATTATTAATTTTTAGTTGAAAAAAATCTGGTACGCCCAACACACAAATCTACTTTGAATAGAAATTATTTTCTGGCAATGCTGGGCTATTATAAAATTTTTCGAAGTGCATTTTAAACGGAGCTAATGCTTGAAGCTTACAGATAACAAGTCATTAAGACCTTTATAATTACAAAATGTCTATTTAATATCGACGACAGGCAATACAAATCTAGTCGCTCCATTTGTTTTTATAAACCACACAACTTTCTTTGCTTTTATAAACCACAGAATGACTAACTCCAATTTCAACATTTTTGAGTGATGTCATTTTAGTGATATTTTTAGTTGAAAAAGTTATCTATGCAGACAATGAGTAAGTTGATTCCAGAGGTGGTGATTGCAGTGTTGAAATATAGAACTGAAAATAAAGGTATAAATTTAGGTGCTTATTTCTTATGAAAGGTGTTCTGAAGAAAGACACTTTATTGAAGATCTGTAAGGATATTTAAACAAATAAAAATATCCACAATGAAATATAAATAAATATAGCATCTATAATTTTTACTTTCACTTCTCCTTTGTCTGAAAATACTTATTTCTGCTAATGAAAGTTGTGTTATGTATGCAACTCATCAGATCTTTTTTTATGTCCATTTGAATATACTTGAAAATATCTGAACAAAACAATTGAATATATTACAATTTGTATACAGTAAACATGAAAAGAAGGGAGGCAGCCTCCATAACTTAGGTACATTTATATATTTTTTACTTTCACTTACTTACATATGTAATATATAGTAAGTGTAAGAATTGCGATCGAGAAAATTTTTGAATCTGAGTTTTCAACGAATTTACACGTTTTGAAGTCCCTTGAGTCGAAATGACCAAGTCCCGAAAAATGGTCTGTGTGTCTGTATGTTTGCAGTCTAGCTCAAAAACATACAGAGGCTTTTTAGTCTCAAAAATTAAAAAAAATATATTTTAAATTTATCCAAATTTTTGCCTCTTCAGAGAAAAAAACTAAAGACCATATCTTTCCTTCTAATTGTCCGATTTTAACAATTCTTTTTTTGTTTTTTTAGGAAATTCTGTTAACTTTTATAAAACCATATACAATATTTTTTTCTCCTTTATTAACTTATCAAATTCTTTCAAAAGTTATATTTAGCATTTTTTCGTAACTCTAAATAATGTGAAATTATTAACTTTTTAAAATAAACCATATTAAAGGTACTTTAGAGGAAGACGTATATGAACATTGGGCATTTGAGCCCTGTAAAGTGACATCAATGGGGATAAGACCTAATTGATATTAAAGACCACTTAATTATACAATGATACACCGAGTTTAATCGAAATCGTTAGAGCCGTTTTTGAGAAAATTGTGAAAATGTGGTACTTCCGGTTAGCCGATTTTAAGGAAAAAATTGCTGTCACATCTAAGGCATGTACTTATCTTAAATACGTGATATCAGTTTCATAGGACTTTTCGTTTTTGAGCTAGACTGCAAACATACAGACACACAGACATTTTTCGGGACTTGGTCATTTCGACTCAAGGGACTTCAAAACGTGTAAATTCGTTGAAAACTCAGATTCAAAAATTTTCTCGATCGCAATTCTTACACTTACTATATATTACATATGTAAGTAAGTGAAAGTAAAAAATATATAAATGTACCTAAGTTATGGAGGCTGCCTCCCTTCTTTTCATGTTTACTGTATACAAATTGTAATATATTCAATTGTTTTGTTCAGATATTTTCAAGTATATTCAAATGGACATAAAAAAAAGATCTGATGAGTTGCATACATAACACAACTTTCATTAGCAGAAATAAGTATTTTCAGACAAAGGAGAAGTGAAAGTAAAAATTATAGACGCTATATTTATTTATATTTCATTGTGGATATTTTTATTTGTTTAAATATCCTTATATTTACAAATTTTAATATTTATATATTGCTGTAATCTATACAATTAAATGATGTAGAGAAGGTTGACCATGATATATGAGAAGGAGTTGATCGGGGATTGCGGTCAAATAAATACTAAATTATAGAAATAGTATTATTTAATTTTTATAAATGGCAATGACTGCCAGTGTTTCAACTGCCTCCCGCAGTGCTACATCCTACGCCCTAATGAAGACCTGCAAAGTGGGTCGAAACGTCGGCATAAAAATTAAATAATACTATTTCTATAACTTAGTATTTATTTGACCACAGCTATCGATCAACTACTTCTCTTATAAAATTAAATATTAAATAATACCAACAATAGCATTTTTGAAAACCGTATATGAATATTTATATAATATTGTCAGAGTTCATATTATATTAAGATCATGTTATGTATGGAAGCATATTATAATCTTTCGGGAGAGTCCCAGCTGAGCTGGGTAGTGCTCGTATATCTTTGGTTCCCCAATTACAACTATTCTCCATTACGATATCTCTTATTTCTCCTTTAGTTAATTATCAACTTCTTTCGTATTTTATATTTATCTATCTTTTATATTACAGATTAATGTGAAATGGTCAATTGTTTCAAATAAAAAAAATTAAAGGTACTTTCAAGGAAGCTAATATTGAAAATTAGCCATTTAAGCCCTGTTAGAGAACACCAATCAGAATAAAAACTACATTTAATTTAAAACTGCTTAATTTTACACTGTTATAATGAATTTAGTCAAAATCGTTATAGCCGTCTTCGAGAAAATCGTAAAAATGTGTTTAATCCACGATATAAAGTGCCACTTCCGTTAAGCAATTAAAATTTTCTGTAACATTCCTAGTATATAAAAACCTTAAATATGCAATTTCAGTTTTGTACGACTTTTCTTTTATGAGCTAGACTGTTAACACACACATAGAGACCATTTTGAGGGACTATTTATACTCAGTGAACCCCAAAACGTGTATTTTCGTTAAAAACTAATTCGAAAATTTTCATGATCTCAATATTTTCCTTCACTATATATTTCATAAATAGGTTGTTGTTTTTTTTAAATTTTATTTTATTGAGATTTACAACTGCATTACATGAAAAATACAATTAGTAAATGTGACATTGGTAACATGACATGTACAGCATGAAGAGAAACTACCCATTGGTAGAACTCAAATTAAATTTCTATATTAGAAGGTCCCGAGGCCATCTTCTTTTCAGACGCTCGGAGGATTATCAGGGATCGAGGAGGAAGCAAGGTTTGAGACGAGAGGATTCGGATGGTTCTGCAGTTTGTTATGGAAGGATAAGTATCTGGATTGGGCCAAATCTGAAACATATGGAACATTAAGGTCTTTATGGATGATTTTATTTGTGACAAAGTAAGGAGCGTTGAGGATTTTGGATTGTAAGGATTGGATACGAGAGGAATTCGATGGTTTAGTGGAGCCCCAAAGCTCAATTCCGTAAGTCCAAATAGGTCTCATTATTGTCATATATATGAGTCGTTTGTAATTGATTGTGAGCTTAGAGCGTTTGTCTAGTAAGTGCTGCAGTAGTTCATAAATAGGTAAGTGAAAGTAATAATGAATTCTACAACTGCCTAAACATGAATATAAATTTCTTTTTAAAAATCCAATATTATATTTGTTCCTCCCACAATAATTATGTTGACTTTGTACACATAACATAAACAACTTTTTTATGTATCGCCCACCTCCCCCAATCAAAATGGCAGTTAATAACCATTTTAAACTCTAGATACCCCTCATCTGACCACACAACTCCGGTTAGTCAGTTGAAAGCCTTCTATACAAAAATTTAAATAAAATTGGCAAAATTTGACGTTTATTTTAACGAAAAAATAGACGGCTGGAATTTGATATGATGTAAAGAATGCGTTCTCAAAAGCGAATGGTGTCAAAAGTCATCAAAATTAGTTCAGTAGAATGGCAGTAGGAAATCGTAAACATTTAAATAGTCGGTTCCTCATAGGTCTTTTTGTCTTTTGTAATGTTAAATCAGAATTTGAAGTGTTAAATCTACTTGTCATTTAAATTTTCCTTAACCTCGACGAAGGCCCGAAACTTAGGCCTAAATGTCGCGACAAAGAAAATAATTTTTTTTGTGTATGTAATAATGACTGCGATCACCGACCAACTTTTAAAATTATATTCTCAAGATTTAATAACCATTGGACCACGCTTTGCCCAGCAACGTGATAACCGAATTGTAGATAATAAAATAACTACGAGTTCGCGTCCCGGTGCCGGTGGGGTTTTTGAACTCTGGCAATCCCCTACCCTCACCCCCGAGGAAACCCCGTAAAGCCTAAAAGGTGAGGTAGGGAAGAAAATAGATAAAAAAAATTTTTCTACAAAGTACAGTAATACAAAACACAATTGTATTTCTATTATAGGTTTTACAAGTTGGCTCGTGAGAATTATTCCATTGTTTATTAGTCAGTGAACAAATGAGAATATAATAAGTAAATGGTATGTATTATTAGAGGGAGGAATTAATTTTTATTTTCTTGGTGGCTTGATTGAAAATAATTTAGTAGGGAATTTAGTAATCTTTTATGTCATCATGGGCATTAGGGAAAAGTGTGTAATTGTATAGTTATTCGCAAATAAAGTTTGCATTCTTTTATAACTTGTTTGCCTGAATTTTCTGGGTGATTGGACTGTTTTGCATGCCTGAAGGAGAAGGAAGCCTTCGAAATTGGTGGCTCAATCTTCAGATTTGGAAAAAAATTAACGATGATATGGCTTGCCGATCAAAAACACCATCGATAAATAATATAAACTCCTCCACTCTCGATCATAGAGACCTCAAGTCGACGAAATGAGACATTTATTCAATGACAGTACTACAATTAACGTAAGGTTGTGTGGATACGAACCCTATGCCTTGCGTTATCTCGAAAATATTACGTTTTGGAGCTTAAAATGCAGGATCCAATAGTTCCGGAGGAACTATCCAGGTCTTGCTGTACGCATCAAAATCTTCAAGGTCAAATTTGTCCCGCATCGATCTACAGACCTACCACCTTTCCAGTATTGAACCCTAGAAAAATGTTTGTATCGACTTTATTTATTTTAGAAAGAAAAACAAAAGTGGACAATATGATTCGCTAACCCCCCGTGAAATTCTGAATCCAACGGTACCCCATTCATGGTATTTGAGCCTGACAGGAGCTTATATTTGGTACAAAACCGATTTCGAGCCTTACTGTAATAATATATGTGGGAATGGGGATGAGGATTCAATAAAAAACGATCTTCAACAGAGATCTAATAAAAAGAAAATATTTCATGTTTTTTTTTTTTTTTTTAATTTCTAATCTATTAGTCCGTAGTACAGACCCCTTTTTATCAAACTATTAACATCTGCCTAAAACTTCGAGAGTAAAATCGTTATATAATAACTTAAGACTTTTTTATTAAGAACAATTTCGGGATTGGTTTTTTTTTTCAATATGGAATTAGGAAACTTTGTCTATTTAATTAGGTACTAAAAACTCATGAATACTCATTTGCTTTCCACTTGAATCGTAAGATAATATGATAACAAACTCGAGAAAAAAGGTGGCCTAAAAAATATTGGGCTGTTTGGCGTGACCTCCAACCCCAACATGTGAAAATAACGAGATTATATCGAGAAAATGATCCAAATTTATTAATTTAATGAGAAAACACCCCATTTCTAAAGTTTTAGACCTATGTTAATAATTACAGTAAATAAGTCTGTACCGTACCGTAAGTCTGTAGCCTGTACCGTAGACATTTGCCGTTTTTCACAAAAATTAATTTAGAAATTTATTCAAAACAGGAATATACCAAATCTTAATTGAAAATAAACTGTTCCCTTTTGATAAATGTTAAATGTTTATTAAAGACCCGTTCTATTGAAGTTGTCGATAACCAAATGATAACAGAGTGGATCTTTCAATTAACCAATGGCGAGGGTAGTTTCGGAGTTATCACAGGTTTTATTATTAGTCCGTTTCAAATATCATAAAACAAAGAGATACTGTTTAAAAGATATAATCGATTACAGAATTTTCTTATCGACCGGAAAACTTTTATTCTTGATCACAATATTGTGTCGTTCGTTTGTTTTAGCTTCTCTCACGTTCTTTTGAATTTGAAATTAGATTTAGTTTTAAGTATTTTAAATCAACGAAGAAGAAACCAAAAATATATTATGTGCAGAATTTAATTATCAGACTGACATTGTTATATATATATATATATATATATATATATATATATATATATATATATATATATATATATATATATATATATATATATATATATATATTTCCTTAGAAATATATATAGAACCGTTTCTTTAAAAAAAAAAAGCCTTTATCATGTGTACTACATTTTTTATGGAATTCCTTGCCAATCTCTCTACGCAAATTCTCTTCCTTAACCCCATTTAAACAACATTTATTCTTCCACATCCTTATTAACAAATCTTTCGAATACATGTAAGAATAAAATTTCGTATTTAAGAGCTGTCGCCCTCATTTGACTGTTATGTTACTGTCATTGGTGTCCAAAAGGGAATTTCATTTTGAAAGGGTTTTCAATTTTTGAGGGGTGCACATTTCGACGGGATTATGAATTTTCAAAATGAAAAGTTCCAAATAAAAAAACAAGTAGAAGCATGAAACAGACAGCAGGGTGTGTAAGTGTATATATTCTGTGAATATTTAAGTTCTACTTTCGTTTGTAGTGGGAGAAGGATTATGCACCAACGGCTTTGGGGGGGATGAGCACCCCTGGTTATTGTTTCTTATATATCATCAATATTGTTAATCACTACAAATATACGAACACACTCATTTATATTTATGGACAAATTAATATGTTTACTTATACTTAATTTATTTCAATTATAAGGTTAGATTATTGTGTTATGTCAGCTAATTATTTTTTTATTTTCTTATAATACCAGATAATTTTCATCTTTTTGTTAATTATAATTATTCTAAGGGAACTAAATGTCCAAGAATAAAATATACTTTTCTTCTTCTTCTTTTTAAAAATCTATTATTTCTTTTTATGATTTATTGGTATAATTTAATATTTATTTTCCCTCTGTTATTTTCTTATTTATCAGACTATTTATAACAGTTGCCGACTACAAAATGTCACCTTTAACGAAAAGATAATAAACATGTAAAATTGTTACATTTTAGACCTTTTGCCCTAACAGTAACGATAAAAATAGCATCTAATAAATTTATTTTAGTTTTACTATAAGATAAAACAATTGGTATAAGTTAACTCCTTCTTAGTGGAAATTCTAAAAAAAATTATAATTAAATTTGAGGGAAAGGCGGGAAGATTGGGTTGTCTGATTTGGTGAGATTGGATTTAGAATGCAGACATCTATTGGTAGTATCGGCATAGAACCTTTGTGTTCACTAAACCTTATTATTATTATTATTATTACCACCAACGCTCTCAGATGCAATTAATCAAACTATATTAATTTTTTTATTTTATTATGAAATTTTATTGTGTATTTTGAAGATTTCAATTGTTTAAAAAAAAATTAAAATTAAACCTTAAAAATGAAATTTCCACACTCACAAATTACAATGTAAGTCTATTATTCTCTTCCTTTACAAATGGTGAAATTTATTATCATGTTCAGGGTTCAAATTAAGTTCATTGTTTTCTTTAAAATTTAAATCTTGAAGATTTAATCCTAATATTTAAAAAAACTTTTAAAATTCATTGAAAATTTATTTTTCTCAATTATTGTTAAAAACAAGTTTATAATAAAAACAATAACCTCATAATTGTAGGTGCATTTAAGGTTACTCAAATAACGTTTGTTGATTTAGCAACATCACTTCTTATCATAAACATATTTAAAATAACAAATTAGATTTTAAGGAAAATATTTAGAATTTTTTTTTTTTTTTTATTCATTGATATTTACGACTGTATTATAAAAAAAAAAATACAACTAGTGAATGCGCACACAGTAATAATACAATCACATGAAAACGCTTGTTGAGAAACTACCCATTGGTAGAACTCTAATAATATATTTACATAAGTAGATCACGAGGCCATCTTCTTTTAAGACGCCTTGGAGCGTTATCAGGGATTGAGGAGGAAGCAAGGTTAGAAACGAGAGGATTCGGATGGTTCTGGAAGGATAGGTATCTGGATTGGGCCGAATCGGAAACATGGGACATTAAGGTCTTTATGGATGATTTTATTTGTGACAAAGTAAGGAGCGTTGAGGATTTTACGAAGGATTTTGGATTGTAAGGATTGGATACGAGAGGAATTCGATAGTTTAGTGGAACCCCAAAGCTCAATTCCATAAGTCCAATTAGGTCTTATTATTATTATTGTCATATATATGAGTCGTTTGTAATTGATTGAAAGCTTAGAGAGTTTGTCTAGATTTAGAAATTAAAATGCATAAAATGTCTCTTACAATACCTTGAGTGTTTTATTTATTTTTTCATGTTATCAATTATTTTAGTTTTTAAATGTAATCATTGCTCATTTTCTTAATTGTAAATTTTTAAACGCTTATATTTTTTTAATTTCCTTTTTTAGTTGTTGGAATTGTATTTAAAATAGGGTAAGCACGCCATAGATGGACATGGTTAAGAACATTTTTGTATTTTTGGGCTTATTCCGAGTAATTATTATAGTTATAAATTTCTCCGTTGGACATTTAGAATCTCTATGAGCTTCTTTTTCTATTTAACACTTTAAAATCGAAAAAAAAAAAATCATTTATGGAGATATAATATCAGGAGATCGGTACCAGTAATGGACATACCTGGTTAAAATTCTAAAATTTGTATTAAAGTATAAAGATAACGATAAATGTAAGATAACATAAATGTTTTACTTACTCTAAGCAAAACTGTTAGTAGGAAGGTATTGAAACAAACTGATCTCAAGAGTACTACAGAAACAACAATGATAGGAATTTTAACATTCTCTTTTGGGAACTTTGCTCATACAGATGTCAATAGAGGGCATTGTTCTTCAATCTAGAAAAAACTGGAACCTTTAAATCAACAAGAAAGCTTATTATTTACAATTATTCCATAACTGGTCCGTTCAACCTATTCGTTTTGTTTTTCAAAAGAAAAAGAAAATAACCATCATTATCTAATTTCTTATCCCTCCTCCAATTTCTAATTTACAACTTTATATGACTTCAACGACTCTAGCTCACCAATAAAATATATTTACTTACTCTCTGGTGTGAATATTGCGCTCATGATAACCCCGAAGGCAGAAATGGACAAAATGTCGTCTATAGAAGAAGCAGCGATGACCAACGTCGAGATTCCCTTGTCCTCTCCATAACCCTTCTCCTTCAAGCTCAGTAAAGTCGGGACGACCACAGCAGGAGATATCGGGCTGAGGATGAACCTGTAAAAATATTAAAATGCAAAAGATATAGAATTTACTATATAAAAAAGAAATTATGTCCTCTTTAGGAGGGTTTTCGAAGCACGATAGATCCGATCATTTTTTTTTTTTAATTTATTCTGGAACAAGGTCCCTTATGAATAACATATATGAACAAAAAAAATAAAAACTATATCTGGCCAAAAATTACATTAGTCAATATTAAATAATATATAGTATCTTCAGTAAAATTAAATTAAAAGAAATAAAAATAACACCATTTTGAAAAAAAAATAAATAAAAAAAACACATTATTTATATGAAAAGAGAACAAAATAAAATAAACATGGGTTGATTTTTAAAATTAAAACTCTATCAATTTTTACAACCATTCACCTCAGTCAAAATCTGTTTCGCAATATTTATTTCATTGTATAATGTCATTTTGGGATGTGAGAAAGAATTGGTAAAGATATAAAGGTCCGAAACACGTTAGTTACATCCAATATCATATTGGATTGGCAAATAAGTCCTTCTGGTTTTTCAGGATGAAATAAAACTCAATATATCATAGGCATACAATTTATTTTAATCTATAATATATTGACCATTATTTAATATGTCTGGAGTTTATTGTTAAAAAACAGATCCAATCTGGTTTTTGATGTCCTCTTCCTTTTGGAATTTCTTTTCATTCATGGAGTTCTGCAGAGATCGGTGGTCACTTGGAGCTAGGTATGATGAATAGGGAAGGTGGAGCAAAAAGTCCTATCCAAGATTCAATCAGTGACCAATGAGGTGTGGGGTCTAGCGTTGTCTCGGTGGAACACAACACCCTTTCGATTTGCCAATTTTTAATTGATTGATCCAATTTTATTAATTGTGAGCAGTATAGAGCTAAATCAATTGTTTGTCCTGATGGCAATAGCTCATAGAAAATAATACCCTTGAAATCCCACCTTATGGAAAGCATATTCTTCTTTGGGTGTAATCCGGTTTTTGATATTATTTTAGGAGCTTCAGTACTAGTTCCCAAGTTCCCAAGATTTTCTACGCATTACATTATCGTGATATATCCATTTTCAAAAATGGGTCGTTTTGTTGCCGTTTTCGTAATGAATCACAAACATCAAGCCTGGAAACATAGCCAAGCCTGGAGCTTGTGAAAATAGTTTTCTACCCTTGTGTGCGACACATTTAGAGCCATAGCAATCTCTCGCACTGATTGGATGGAATTTTGATTAGCATTGGCTTTAACATTGCTCGTCTCAATTCATGTGGGCGATCATACCGTTGAGCATCATTGATGTCAAAATTTCCTGAATGAAATTTGTTAAAACAATTTTGACAGGTGCGTACGGTTAAGGCATCATCCCCATAAACACTGGAAATTTTTCTTTGAGTTTCTGCAGCACTCATACTTTTTTAAAAAATAATACAACGAAATATACCTATAATGAATGATATTTTCTTCCATATTCACAGTGCAATAGCAAACACAATATTAAGATAGTTTCAACAACAGTTAACAATCCACCTTAGGGATTGATTCATCGGATAAGAAGTGCATCATAGTGAAATACAAATTAAAAAAAAAATCGAAAGGACTTATTTGCCAACCCAAATTTATTATAGGTTATTATAAATCTTTTATATTTTCCTCATGTATTGCCGTGGCTGTGGGATCAGTTATAAGTCCTCTTGATCGTAATCTGATACGCCATCTGGCGGGTGTTTTTGTGAGTCTTCTTCCCTTTCCTTTTTTACAGGATAATTTCTTTTCATGAGCTGAGGAACTATCCTCCTTGTGGGTTGTTTAGAATCTTCTTTGGCAGAATTTGTCACTGACTGAATACTCATTGCTTCAGAAGCCTTGTATTTCTCCTGTGTATTTCTTATACGAGAGGAATTTTGTGACTTGTGGCAACACGAATCCTACCTTAATTTTTTTCCATTATATTTTGCCTCCCATCTCTTCCAGACCAGTTGCTGAAGAATTAATATTTGTGATTGGTATAGTTTTTTTTTTTTTTTTTACTTTTTACTCCAATAACATGTTTTTCTTCGTCACAAGTTCGTCATTATTTTCAATTTCTTCCTATGATTAATTATACAGGGAGTGAACAAGTACCTAAAATAATGAAATAAGTCGTTTTTGGAGCCATAAATTAAAAAAACTGAAAAATATTTTTTAAAATTCTGTTTTGGATGGAGTAATTTTAATTGAATTGCGTGGAATTCATTTCGTTAGACGTCAATGTCTAGCTCTGCAAGCGCTCCCTGACTAAATTGTAATTTATATATTTTTTTTTCCTTAAACCTAAATAATAGTATGTGGCTAAAGTGCTCTTGCTCAAACTCCACTGGCTTTAGCACCAGTGACGCAGTTGAGAGAGTACCGCAGGGATCTCTTGAGGTCCTGTTTTTCCTTCTACAGTTAGGGGGAGAAGCCTGATTGAGATCCCTGCCTGATTGTATATATTGTATATTTGGTATGACTGTTTTTTTATGTTTTTAATTTACTCATCTTTAGGTTATTTTATTTTTTATTGTACATAGTTTTTGTATTATCTTACTTTTGTTAATTTTATATTTTCTGTATATATGGTATGAATGTGTTGATATATCACTATAATTATTGTCAACGTGACAGATTGTTATATTTCTAAATAAATAAATAAATAAATAAAAAACCTAAATATTACTTTCATATTACAAATTAGATGGGACTTTGATCAGCAATGGCCTTAACCTCTTAATTTGAATATATAAGTTTCAAAATCTTGATCGTCACAGACAGTAAACACAAAATTTTCAAGATTCCAATTTTAATAAAACGCCAATTGAATTAAATCATATAATATTACAGTAAATAAGTTCGAAATTCATAAAAACATACTCAAAAGTCCATTTCCATCAAACACGTAATTGTGACTTTTTACAATAAACCAGTGATATAACACACAATCAGTGTTGCCCAAATACGAGACCGAGACGAGTCTTGGTCTTGCAAACTCAGTCTTTGTCATCATCTTGGTCTTGCACAAGAACCTCGCAACAGTCTTGCACTTATCTATTAGCTTCTTACTATAGAGATATTACTGTAATATTTTACATGGGAGAAACCTAACTAAGCCCGAATGAAAAATTAGAGCAGTTAAATGCAAAAGTATATTGGTTGTACCAATTATTAGCATATATTAACTAAGATTGTCAAGTATTAGTAACTATCTTGCCTTAATTTTATTAATAAAAACTCGATTTTTTTTTTATACTTGCAAAGTGCAAGACCAAGACCGATTTTGGGCAACACTACACACAATGTAATTCTAGTTTAAAGTTATCATTTTTTTAAAAAAAAAAGGGGTATATGAATGAAAAAGAATAGTGAATAAAAATTTGTTTCTATTCTTGGTTCACTAAAACATATTTAATATTTAAAAAAAAAAACCTTTCTTTCACAACATATTATACATTTATAAGTCTTTCTGTTTAATGTCAAAAACTTTAAATTTCACTTGTTTTTTATTCTTTGGATTGTAGAAAGTAGTGGACATTGTTCTAGAAATATAGGTATACCAAAAGAAATAGTTGAGAAGCTTTACTGAGAGAGAGAGAATCATTTTATTATCATAAAATGGTGCTGCCCAATTACATTGGTTTGCGAAAAACACAGCATACTTATTAATTATTACAGGCAATTTTTAAAATTAATATACAATTATATAGATTTAACAATATGTATGAGCATAGTATACAACATATATATATATATTATTATTATTGTTTTTTTCTTTTTTTTTTTTTTTTTACTATTTCTTTCATTCATTTATTATCATTCTATATCCTTTCTCTTTCTTCTCTTCCTTTACACATTATTCCAACTCCTCATATTCTCTCCTCTCTCTTTCCGACGTAATTTATAAAATTATTGACTGACTTGTTTGTCCGAGAATAAATAAAATTAAAACAACGTATATTCTTACCCAATGAGGAAGGACCATATCCAAGGAACTCCGAAAAAGATGTTGGCTGCGAGAGCGGCTCCACAGGCCTCACAGATACAGGGAAGGACTGCCAACCTGAGGACGGTGAACTTGAGCCTTCGTAGAGCAACAGGATCTAGTCCGAGGCCTGCCTTGATCAGGATCACAGACAGGGCCAAGTTCCTGTTTGGAAGTGAAGCTTTGAAATAACTTTATCATGGTTAAATAATAAACATATATAATAAGAATTAAAAAGACAAGAACTTACTAGACGATATAGCCAACTTTCACATCTTCTGGACTACAGATCTTCAATTAACTTACGAAATAAGCGACTGATCTACAATACATTACTGAGACCAATATGGACATATGGAGCAGAACTTTGAGGTTCGGCAAAACATACACACGTAAACAAAATGCAAACAGCACAACCAAATATTTTACGAAAAATTGTTAACGCACCTTGGTCACTTCAAATAATACTATACATAACGATTTAGACACCCCAACAGTAACATCCTACATCCACGACAAATACATTACATTTCATTCTTCAACCCAAAATCACTCCAATCCTCTGGTTCTTTCTATCTCCAGCTCCCTGTTACCTGAACAGTGCAGATTAAGAAAAAAATGGTCAAGAGACCTACTATTTGGATAAAAACAAAAAATACATCAAATTTGCTAGATGCGCAGCCGCGCAGGTGCAAATTTCATAAAATATAAATAATTAAATTTAAAAAAAATAATAGAATAATAGGCTTAGCGAACCTGAGGTTCGATGCCGACACCACTAATATCTTATTACACACCTCCCTCCACCGGTCGCCGTCCAAACCCAGTCCCTCCAGATCGGTTTTAACGCAATCTTCCCACCTTCGCTTCGGTCTACCCCTCGAACGTTTACAATTCGGCACAGCAAATATTAATCTTTTAAGAATTCTTTCGTTACTAAGCCCAACAATTTCACAAGCTACTAGATTCGACCCTCTGTCCATTACTAGAACAATTGAATATCGGGGTATCCATCACTATTGCAAAAACATGTTTTTTTCTTTTTTTAAATGGCGATAAAACGTACATAATTGAATATTTTTTCAAATTTGAAGCGTTAAATAGAAAAATGAGACCCTGGAGATTCTAAATGTCTAACTGAGAAGTTTGTAACTATAATAATTACGTCAGCGTAGGCTTAAACAAATTCCTTACCTATGTCCATCACTGTTGCGCTACTTAGTGCCAATCAATACTTTGTAAAAGAGTACTGTTTAATGTCCGAGGGTTGCTGAAGAATCTTAGAGATGATTTTACCGAGATCACGCTCAACCGCTAAATTTACTTGCTTAATTTAATTAAGTTTACTCACTATAGGTTGGGTGGAGGATTTTGTAGAGGCTGATTGTGTGAATATTCTTTTAAATAATAATAATAATAAAAGGCTTAGCGAACCCGAAGGTTCGATACCGACACCACCAATCGCTCATTACACACCTCCCTCCACCGTTCGCCGTCCAAACCCAGTCCCTTCAGATCGGCTTTAACACAATATTCCCACCTTCGCTTCGGTCTACCCCTTAGACGTTTATCATTCGGTACGGCAAATATTAATTCCTTTTAGGAATTCTTTCGTAACTAAGCCTAGCAATTTTACAAGCCTATTTGATTTGCCGCCATGTAATTTCAATTATATAAACCGGATACAGTTCACCCATTTCAGCTTTGTGTAACTGCCAAAATTCTCCAGTTGACAAATCCTTCTTCTGTCCGAATATTCTGCGCAATAATTTATTTTCAAAAACCTTAAGACGTTGTCTTCCTGTGTATTCTAGTAAACACAACAACATTGATGAAAGCTGGTAAAGAACTGGAACACGAAATAAATATGGATGACAAAATACATGGTTAGCTGCAGAAACAGCGACAATTTCGGTGATATCGATACAGAAGGGAATGTACTTGAACAATTTTAGGTACCTAGGGTCTACAATAACGAAATATGCAATAAAAATATTTTTCAGTTCTTGATTTATGGGTCCAAATATGACTTATTTTATTATTTTAGCAACTTATTTTCTTCCTGGATAATTAGTCATAGAAAGAAATTGAAAAGAATTATTAACTTGTGATGACGAAAAACATGTTATTGGACTAAAAAGTAAAAAATAAAAAAAAAACTACCAATCACAAATAATAATTCTTCAGCTGGTTTGGAAGACATGGGAGACAAAAATATAATGAGAAAAATTAAGGTAGGATTCGTGTTGCCACGAATCACAAAATTTCTCTGGAATAAGAAATACAAAGAAGAAATACAAGACTTCTGAAGCAATAAGTATTCAATCGTTGGCAAATTCTGCCAAAGAAAATTCTAAACAACACACATGAAAGATAGTTCTTCAGCTCATGAAAACAAATTAACCTTTAGAAAAAACTTTAAGATGTTGCTCATCCCTTAATGTAAGCGGCCACGTTTCGCATCCATAAAGAACCGTAGGAAGGATAATGTTTTTGTAAATTCCAGTTTTTAAGTTTCGGGACAGGAGGCGCAAGCTATGTGGTTTTGACAATGAGAATAACAAGCATTTTCCGCCTTCAGCCTAAAATTCGCTAAGTGTTCAAGCACATTCGCTTCTGTATCGATATCACCGAAATTGTCGCTATTTTTGCAGGTAACCATGTATTTTGTCATCCGTATTTATTTCGTGCCCTAGTTCTTTACCGGCTTTCATCAACATTGTTGTATTTAGTTTTATTGTTTCCTTATGTTCGCTTAACAGTACCAAATTTCGGACAATTTAAATAAACTTATTGAACATTTTTATTAAACATTTAATAAATCATAAAGTAGTTTATTACTAAGAAAGATACCCAATCATAGTACTTTTTTAGTTTTTATATTATTTTATTTATATGTTTTCGAGGAATGCCCCATACAAATAGAGTTGGCTATAATGATAATGAACAAATTAATATCAAAAACATTTACAACTTATATACAAAGTAAAATTCATTAGGATTCAGTGGCAACATCATCTCCTAATAACAACCAAGCATCTGACTGTTGCCTAAATATAAACAATGAAATATAATATAATACCCCGCATAATACAATAATTCAAAATAATACATCTGAATATAGCGAGCAATAAAATGACAAATAGTAATAAATAGCACTAGTAATAAAGATAAATACAGGCATAATATACACAATAGAATATATAAACATGTCAATAGTGAATAGCAAATGATACAATAAAGCAGGATATGCATATAAATATGTTTCATGCATGAATAATAAATACTACAAGCAGAACAAAGTAAACAAACTTCAAAGTTTTAGAAAAATGTATGTAACGTTATTATTCATTGAAAATAAAGGATCTCAATCTGCAACATGGTCTCGTGTAATAAAACAGGTCCTTGAATGAATAATAACATTACTTCATTGTCAATTTTGAATAATTCGTTCAGGTCATGTTAATGGAATGAAGTAGGAAGTGTTGGCGGCAGTGAGCATAAATCGGGCACCGGACAAAAATATGAAAAAGGTCCTCCAATTCATTAGATAAGTTAGTTAATTCATAAGAATCATTCAGGATTCTTCGAAGGATTTTGGATCGGATGCCATAGAAATTTGGTGGTTTTATGGACAGCCAAAGCTCAATTCTTCTAACAGGGATTAAGAGGATAGGAAGTCGTAGACTTACGACCAAGACTAAAATTGATTTGATAGGATAATTTATAATTATCCAAGAGCTGTGATATGTGATGAGTTTGGGATGCACAAATGGAAACTTGGTCGTTATTCACAGATAGCAAACATGTGTCACCATCATAAGTAGAGGGGCTGGTGATTGGTTGGGATATCACCTTTATAAACTCTGTACAGAATGTATAAATGTATATAGTAAACAGATAATAGGTAGTAAGTAGACTGCCTTGGGGGACAATGGCGCACAGTCGACATATTTTAGAAGGAAAATGGTCTTGTGGACAAGACACTGTGATCAAAACAGATGCTGATGACACCTGTATCCTACCTGTTAATAATGATCCATCAACTGCATCCCAAACTCTTCAATCACATATCACAAACCTTGAAGAATGGTTTTAAAAACTAGAGAATAAATCCCATCAAATTACCTTTACCCTGACCTCGCATCCTACAGTGTCCTTTAACAATTCCCCACTTATCTCAATTGAACAAATCCGTTACCTAGGACTCCACCTGGACAAACGACTCACACGGAATCCTCATACAAGACTGAAACTACAAGAAACTGCTCGACGTTTCCGACTACTCCAACACTTACTAGACAAACGCTCTAAGTTTACAATCAATTACAAACGACTCATATACATGACTATAATAAGACCTATTTGGACTTATGGAGTTGAACTGTGGGGCTCCACTAAACCATCGAATTCCTCTCGCATACAGTCCTTACAATCCAAAATCGTAAAATTCTCAACGCTCCTTACTTTATCATAAATAAAATCATCCATTAAGACCTTAATGTTCCTCATGTTTCTGATCTGGCCCAATCCAGATACCTATCCTTCCGTAACAAACTCCAGAACCATCCTAACCTTCTCGTTTCAAACCTTGCTTCCTCCTCGATCCCTGATAACCCTACGAGGTGTCTGAAAAGAAGATGGCCTCGTGATCTACTTATGTAAATATATTATTAGAGTGCTACCAATGGGTAGTTTCTCAACAAGCGTTTTCATGTGATTGTGTTATTACTATGTGCACATTTAGTAGTTGTATTTTTTTTTATAATACAGTTGTAAATATCAATGTATGAATAAAAAAAGAAATTAAGTGTAAAAACGATTGTTCACTATTTAATAATCAATAAATAGAATAAATTATTTATTTAGTTTTTGCTTTACCGAACAAGTAGGATTTTAATAATTACAATGAAATACCAAGTGTTATTAAGGTACCGAAAAAAATAATATATATATATATATATATATATATATATATATATATATATATATATATATATATATATATATATATATATAATGCTTCTTCTTTCATACTATAGCAAGATATTACCTATTTGTTAACCTGTTAATTTTGCCTTCTTTATATTGATACGACATTAATTCTGTTGATGTATTATTGCTGTGTGTATATTTACTAGTGGTATTTTTTTATAATACAGTTGTAAATATCAAAGAAAAAAATAATGTCTCTCCTTTCAATAAGATTTGTCTTAAAAAAAAAAATTTCATTTTCATATCACCTGCCACGATGGACATAACTCATAAACTGCAGAAATTTAACTAATACCTGCATTAAATACATGTTTTGAGCCTGGTTCTAAAGAAAAAAGCTATATCTGTCCTGGAATAATCATATTTTAAAAATTATCCGAAAATCCATTGCTACCCTCAAACATTTCCTGAGATTCCGTGACTCTATGCCCCTTAAAATCCTTCAGCTCCTAGTTTTCTCTCTCATTTTCCTTCATTTTGATTACGCCTGCCTTATATATAGTAGACTGCCTGATGGTCTTGAGATCAGATTAAAGAGACTAATGAATTGTTTCATTAGATTTATCCTTGGAGTCCCCAGGTGGTCTCATGTCTCCAGTTGCTATGTCGATTTGAAGTGGCTCTATCCAATTTTCCGACAGCAATATTTTCTAGTTATATTCCTTTTCTTTACAACCAAAAAACCTTCTTGATTTCTTTACTCGTTGTTCCTCTGTTTATTCGTTCAACACGAGATCCCAATCCTCATATTTGTTTATTCCTTCTCATAGAACTGTTTCCTTTAAAAAATCCTTCGTCATACCTGCTACCTCGTTTTGGAGTTCCCTACCAATCTCTATACTGACATCCTCATCCTTGAGCTCATTAAAACACAATTTATTTTTCCATCTCCTCAGTAATCAATCATCCGAATATATGTTTAAATGAAGTTGTTTTGTACTTTAGAGATGTCAGCTACATTATTCTGATAAACTGCAGATATCTATCCGTGTGCTATATTCCTTATTTTTACTAATACGTGAACTCACTTGTATGTATTTATCTTTAAATATGTGTCTCTTCTTTATTTTAATATTTAGGTTAGGTAACTGTGCAAATTAATTTATTTTTAACTGTTATTTAATTATTCATACTTGCCAGACAATTTTCAGTTCCTTGTTCATTGTAGTTATTCTGAGGGGGCTAAATGTCCCAGAATAAAATTTATTTTATTTCTTTCTAAACGCACTTTCACTGCAAATAGAAATATTGGATCAATTAAAATCGATCAATTCAATCGAGATAATCGCCCGTTTATACATTTCCGTTCAAAGCCGAATTACACACCTCCCTCCATCGTTCGCCTTCCAAACCCAGTCCCGTCAGATCGGCTTTAATGCAATCTTCCCACCTTCGCTTCGGTCTACCCCTCGGACGCTTACCATTCGGCACAGCAAATATTAACCTTTTAGGAATTCGCTCGTTACTAAGCCCAACAATGTTACAAGCCCATTTGATTCGCCGCGATGAAATTACCTCAATTATATTAACTGGAAACAGGTCACGTAACTCGGCGTTGTGCGATCTTCTGAACTCTCTGGTTAAATCATCTTTCTTCAGTCTGCATATTTTACGCAATACTTTATTTTCAAAAACCTTAAGATGTTGCTCATCCCTTAACGTAAGCGACAAAGTTTCGCACCCATAAAGAACTGTAGGTAGGATAATGGTTTTATAGATTCTAGTCTTTAAATTCTGGGACAAGATGCGCGAGCTAAGTAGTTTTGTCACAGAAAAATAATAAGCATTTCCCGCCTTCAGCCTAACCTTAATCTCCTCTTCAATTTCGTTTTTTCTAGCTATCGTAGACCCTAGATACTTAAACTTCTCTATCTGTTCAAATATGTTACCTTACAGCTAACCATATATTTTATCTTATCCGTGTTTATTTCGAGTCCTAGTTCTTTACCGGCTTTCATTAACGTTGTCGTGTTTAGTTTTATAGTTTCAACGTCTTCACTGTTAAGCGGATCATCAGCATAGGCCAGCACGGATGTTATCCCGCCCAGATCCAACCCTTTCTCGGTTCGCATTACCTCCCTAATGGCATGTTCTAATGCCAAATTGAACAGGATAGGCGAAAGGGAATGACCCTGTTTTAAACCCGAACGAACCTCAAATTTTCCGGACAGATTATTACCGATTCTAGCTTATCACCGACTGAGTGTTTCCGTCAAGCACATCCTGACTAGATTTACTAATTTTTTTGGAATCTCTGCTCAATTAGAATATTATACAGTTTCTGGCGGTCAATAGAATCGTAAGCATTTTTGTAATCGATACACAGCTAGTGAACAACACCGTTGTACTCTACTTTTTTATCCAATATTTGCCGAAAAGAGCGTTTTTTTTTTTTTTTTTTTTTTTTTTTTTTTCTCGATTCTTCAACTCACATGCCAGAAGTTCCGACAATAAGCGAGTTGGAATTGGCCGTCTTGTCTTGAGCATAATATTTATAGTTAATGGAGGAGATCCCTCATCCAGCTGCTTTTAAGCCTCCTTCGGGTACTATCGGGCATGTTAGTTGTGGCCATGCGTTGAATCAATGAGTTTGTATGTCCGTGTAAGTTATTATGAAATCTTTTGTAGTATGTTCGTATGTGATCGTTAACTGTTGACATCTGTTGAGTCTTTATGAAGAGTAATGTTACTGACGTAACAGGGAGCCTTGGTGATAGTCCTGAAAGTTTTAGATTGAAAAGTCTGTAATTTACGTATGTGAGTCTTTTTGGCTGTCCCATGTATCTGTGAAGCGTAGGTCCAAATAGGCTTAAGTAGGTAAGTATATGTATTCGATTTCTGTCTAAGTTTTAATTTCTTGCAAGGAGTGAGTACAATAGTCGTAGACTTAGATTTAGAGTTTTTGTTTTGTTTTTGATATGTGAGCCCCATGTCATACTTCAGTCAAACGTTAGTCCAAGATATTGAACTTTGTCTCTCTGAGAAATTTGGATAGTGTCAAGGTAAAATGGAGGGCAAGTTTCACGTCGAAAGGTAAAAGTGGTATGTAGTGATTTGTCTTGGTTGACTCGAATTTTCCAGAGCACCAGTCGTAGAATTTGTTTAGGTGATATTGTAAAGTCTGTGAGGCGTATGTTGAATTTTGATGTCTTATCATGATTGTTGTATCGTCTGCGTAAGTCGAGGTCAGAGTATCTAGAGGATCTGGAATATCATATGTGTAAATGATATACAACAGAGGCGCGAGTACTGATTGAGTATTCTTTTAACTCGTTATAAATAACGCCAAAATATAAAGATGTTCTATAATACTACTACTTCTCTTATTATAGTTAATATATATTATATACCTTTCTACAACTTACCTGGACACGATGACGAGATCCGGATACACGCCATAGAGCCTGAAGAAGCCACAGCTCTTGAGAACTATGCCAGCTATCAGCATGCCCAGCAGCGCCGGCAGCTTGACCAGCTTACAGAGCTGACCCCCAGCTTCCGCGATCAAGAGGAGTACCAGGAGTTGGAAGAGACCCCCGGAGGGGAGTACTTCGCCGTGCAGCACGAGGTAGAGGCAGCTCCAGCTGAGGCCGCTGAGGAGGAGGATTATCGACCATTTCACGAAGCCGTTCTTCCACTTGTCCGACTTACCTCTATAAATTATAATTATTATATAATAATAGTAATAAATAATAATAATGGTTACACCAATAATAATATCAACCAATGGTCTGATCCCAAAGTCAACGGTGGAAGGTACGGACGGCTCGGAATTACCCCTGGATGTGTTAAGAGAGGCTCAGCAAGCGGTTCTCTTGGATACAGCCAGAATTACGAGAAAGTTCTTAAATATCTATTTATTTATTTAGAATTATATCAAAATGTCATGTGGACAATAGTATATAGTGATACATGAACACATTCACACCATATATACAGAAAATATAAAATGAATAAAAGTAAAATAATAATCAAAAACTAAATATATAAAAAAAAATTTATAACTGCAGGTGGTTGGACTTGTCCCCCACCTTCAACTTTGATGATGGACATAACTCGTAAACTGCAGGAATGTAACTAATACCTGCATTAAACACATGTTTTGAGCCTCGTTGTAAACAAAAAAGCTATATCTGTCCTAGAATAATCATATTTTAAAAATTATCCGAAAATCCATTGCTACCCTCAAACAGTTCCTGAGATTCCGTAAAGAATAAAAAAATAATAATAATAGCAAAACAGGAATTGCAGACTTGCAACAAGTCTTAAGACCAGACAAAATAATAATAACCATTATATGTACATAAAAATATATACATAAACTTCCCTATTTGATTTATATGTACAACATCAAAATAATAGTAGATGTCGTCTACATTTCCGATGAGAACTCTTAGCCCTAATACTTATAGCCCTCCAGCAGTGGCTGATTGTATTAATATTCAATAAATAGATTTAAAAAAAAAATTCTGAACCCAAGCTTAAACTAGTTTTGTAGCAATAACCCCTTTTTTACTTTCCTACCTATACTAGGTAAGGAAAGTATTGTAATGCGGTTTTCGACGGATCTATACGTTTCAGAGCCCTCTGAGTCCTCCTGAGAATAACACATCGTTTACCTGTCGTTTGAAAGGTAATGAAATTCCCTACAAAGCCATATAAAAATCATTCATTTTGGACAACTATTAACGAAGTTGCAGCTATTCAATTTCCAATGTAAGATTACGGTTTCATATCCTGGTTTCAGATAGGGGTGAATAATAGAATAAAGATGACTAAGTGAAAGTAAGAAAATCTGTTGCCCGCATCACACAATCTTCAATATTCCCTCTACTTTTAACAGAAATTATTGTTTGACAATAATAAGCTATGCCAAAAAGTTTTTGATCATCAATATTAGGAAGTATTGAAATTTGTACACTGATCTACCTTAAGCCGGTTTACATCGCTTTAGTTCATCAAATAAATCGTATTCAAATCTTATGTTTGATCAACTTTCAGGAAGATGTATCTAGTTCAATTCTTTTTTGTTTCTTCATGGACATATGTAAAGATATAAAAACTTTTCTGAGATAGGTAGGAAAGTCGTGTGAGTGGACACAACAGATTTTTTTTTCTTTCTTCATTGTTCTAACCGCACCTAGTACATATCTGTTTATTGTCATAGTATTGACAATAAGCAGATGTGATCTCATTGTATAGAAAATTAGCATTTAAGGCACGAGGAAGATTAGTACCCAGCAGTACCTCTTCCTGGTCTTGGTCTACTTCATAATTTAGAAAAGAGATCTCTCATCCAGCTCCTCTTTAGTCGTCCTGATGGGCATTGATAAGTCCGTTGTGGTGTCCATGTAGTTTAAGATAAAATCGGGAGTAGAGAATACGTATGTGTTGGTCGATAGTTGGTTGTTGTAAGTCAGTATGTAAAGTTTTGTTGTTTACGTACCAGGGAACTGCTGTTATTAGTCTTAAAATTTTGGATTGAAAATATTGTAGTTTTTGTAAGTCTTTTTTGCAGAACCGTATATTTGTGAGGCGTATGTCCATATGGGTTGAGTAGGTAAGTGTAGGTATTTTGTTTTCGTCTGGTTTTCAATTTTTATTTGGAAAAAAGGTAGTATAGTATTTTCAGTCGTTGTAATAACCCTTTTGACATGAAAAACTCGATTTAAAAAACAAAATAAACTCCAAAAATTTTATTAAAGACGATAAAATTCGATGTTTAGCTATGATGTAAAATCACTATTTACAAACACACCATTAAAAATGTACAAACTCATTTCTTAAATTTGGGACAAGATCGAACCACACACCATAATAAAAAGCAGATCGATCATTCTAGAAGGAATCAGACTTCGTACCGAAAATATTTTTATTTTGAAAGACAGACCTACAAACAAAGCTTCGATCACCCGGTGGAAGATTGTTAGTAAAAAATAATGAAAAAACTTATGTAAGCCTCATAAAATGCCTTGAACCTCATATAGTATTTTACAAGTTGATATTTCTTTATTTTTTATTGGTTTTTATTGGTGGTCGCATAATATTTTATATTACATATATAAAACTTGGACGGACCATAATGAAGACATTACACTTCATATTCTAATAATTATTTCTTTCGTTCTTATTATCATTACGAATTTGCAATAAGAATAATTATAATTAAATAATAATATAAATTGGCAAAGGCGCGATATATAATATAGATTTTTAAAGAAACTAAAAATTTATCCGAACTGAGGTTTTAAAATTTTATTTTAAAATACATTTTATAATACAATCTGAACTACAGCATACAAGTAAATCACAATTATATAATTTGAGCAACGAGTTGTACAATTAAATTAAAGATTGTATAATTCGTAAAATGGAGGTTGGTCAGAGGACACACAGACAGAGGATACATCCCTAGAATATATATATATATATATATATATATATATATATATATATATATACTTAAATAAGACAATATATATTATTAAATTCAATATTATTTGATAACTTACGTGGAATTCTCAAAAGAGCCGTAGTTCTTTGGATCGTCGGCAACACATAAGACAGCATCCTGTCCCAATTCTAAAACAAATATATTTTTATTAAAAACAAAAAAGTATATTAAATAAAAATTAAATAATTTACTACTACGAGTTTTTAAAATATTGAAATAGCTATCGAAGTTAGGGAAGCTTTGTATTTGTATAGAAGATTAAACAATATTTTGTGCTCGGAATTCAAAATTTCCATCACGTCACAGGCGGATCTATTGGGGGGGGGGGAGGAGAGCTTTCGGGCTAAAGCCTCCTCCTCCCCCCAAAAAATGGTAAAATATTACCCTACTTGATGGAAACAAATATTAAATAATTATTTCTTAAAGTAATATTGTTCATGTAGTTACATTTAGCAGGGACTTCAAGTATGACTTAAACACCATTTCATATTGCTAGTTATGTTCTTTTCTTTTATTCCAAAATAATTATCGTTGTATATGTGGAAAAAACCTATCGGGCTGAAGCCTCAATTAAATCCTGGATACGCTAGTGATTCGCGTTATACGTTTTGAGTATCAATAAACGATTTTGACTGCATGTCTGTCTAGTCAAATCCATATGACGACCATATCACCTTTTACGTGACGCTTTCGATGGAATTTTCAGGGATTGTTCTGGTAGGTACTAAGATAACCATATATCAATTTTATCAATTCCCATCTCTTATTTTTAAATACCAATGCGCATGTGAATTCTTCTCTTTATGTATATATTTCAAAAAATAATTTAATTTGATCCAAATTTATCGGAAAAAATTCGGAAATTTGTATCGATTTCATTAACCGATTAAAATTAATTTTTAAATGAAATTATAATCTTGGGGATGTTTCTATATTTTTTATGTATTTATATATTTTATGTATTATATATTTACGTACATAGAATTTATACTGATTTACTTGGCAGACATTTTTTTATTTGATTAATTAGCCTTGAGTTGATAAATATATTAATATTAATGAAAGTAAATATAATCTAATTACTGAATGCTCTTATCTTATCTTCAATTATGTCAAAGTCAGGGTTTTTGTTTTTACAACTCTGACATATTACATTTAAGGTGAAAAATTAAACATGTCTGTTTCAATATTTTTTTCATCGTTATTAGGATGATGTCAATATTCATAAGAGTCAGTGATATCAAAATGTTTATAAATAATTAGCAGATAAAATATTTTTCACATTGTTAATTGTTACATAAAGTTAATGATGTGTATGGAATTCAGTGTAAATATTTTCCAAATGAACAAAAAAGAAAAACATTAAGGAAATATATTATTTCAGAAATTCCCCCCCCCCAAAAAAAAAAAATATATATATAATTTTCTTGTCTTATTTTCTACATAGAGAAAAAAATATTAACAAACAGAGAATAATAGAATCAATATTCATTACAAAAAACATTAAACAATCAGTAAATCAATAAACGGATGCAGAAAATCTAAACACTGATTATACTAATGCAATAGACAAAATTAAAATGTAAAATACCGTAATATGACTCAAAATAAAATAACTGTTCTCTAACCCCTCCACCCTACTCCTAAACGAAATAAATCCAGTCTTGAATGGATGCGTTATAAAGGAATATCAGTCTTAATATCTTCTAAAAAGGAGGTTTATATTTTTAGATTAAATAATACCATTTTTTTTTTTACTTTTCTTAGAAATTCAACATTATATTTAATTATTTATATATATAAATTTTAGAAATCAAAACTACCTCCTATGAAATGTGGGAATGATCAACTGAAGAATAATATCGTAATGATCTATTTAAATTTTTTTTTATAAAACTGTTAGTGTCGCCACATTTCTTGTTCTTGGTATTACGCAAGAATCTCGCAACAGTCTTGCAGTTAAATATTGGCTTATTACTATAGAGACATTACTATAATTTTTTAGATAGGGGGAACCTAGCTAAGCCCGAATGAAAAATTAGAAGTATTGAATGCAAAACAATACTGATTATTTACACGTAGTAACCAAAATTCTCAAGTATTAGTAACTATTTTGCCATAATTTTTATTCACAAAATCGATTTTATTAAACCAGTCTTGCAAAGTGCAATTAACCAAGTACAGTGACCGATTTCGGGTAACACTAGAAACGGTGCGTGGTAGGTAGATAATTTTTGCATTTATTTCAAACCAAAATATTCAAACATTGTTCAGTTTTGTAATATTTTGGTTTGTTATTTTCAACCATCATGATCAAACAAAAAATTAAAAAACTTGACCTCCTCTCAAAATTTGAGGCTTCACGTTTAAGGATGCGTAGAATTCGAAAAACGAATAAAATTTTTTTTGTCCGTCCGCCGTCCGCGCATTTTCTCCGAAACTACTAGTCCAATTTTTTTTAAAAATTTTGATATAAAATCAGAGGTCATCCGAGGATGATCCTCCTTTATTGACTTTACTATCCGCTTTTTACTTTAAAAATGGCGGCCGAAAAACACTCGTTGCTATAGACTGTAGCTCCTAAACGAATGTACCGATTTCAATGAAACTTTGCCAAAGCCATTTTCCCGACGCCCTTTAAATTTATCTATATAACATACTTCAACGAAAAGAAACTGGAAAAAAAGTTACGAGGGATGTTAAAATTAAATCCCGAATAACTCAAAAAGTTTACACTTTTTTGATAATATTGTAATAACATGTTTCAAAGATATTTAAAGTTCCTAAAAAATGAAGGAAGTTTAATCGAAATCAAAGCACTATTAGTAGAGATATCGCGATGTTTAAATATTTTTGGTTTATTATTTTCAATAATCAACCATTGTGATCGACCAATGGTTTTTTAAAAGTTTTTCGGAATTTCCTAAAAAACAAAATCGTTAAAATCGGATAATTAGGAGCAAAGATATGGTCTCCAGTTTTTTATATAATAAAGTATTTTCTATAATCAACCATTGTGATCGACTAAAAAATATAAAAACTTAACCTCCTCTCAAAATTGAGGTTTCACGTTTCAGGATGTGTAGAATTCGAAAAACGAATACAATTTTTTCATTTTAAAATAGAATAATGACTGTTTAAAATTTATTATAAGTGTATAATGATATATTTTCAAGAAAAATAATTAAATTAAATTTTTGTTTTGCAGAATCTTGAAAATGGCTCGAGAGGCCAAAACGTGAAAAAAAAAAAACGAAATGAAAAAGTTTATTATTCATGACCTTTGGCCTAATAATTTTTAAATATATATGTATATATATATATATATATATATATATATATATATATATATATATATATATATATAAAATATATTTCATATAAATATTCGAATGTGATTTATAAAACTTACTAGGTGTTTCCCCGCAATCGTCCGTGAAGGCCTCGTTCAAAGAAGCCATTAGGATTTAGTAAAGTGTTGTGGATGATAATTTCTCTGAGACAGATAGACGTAGAAGACTCCATACACGCAGATTTAGACCCCAGAGGGAAATGTTTCGTGAGCGGCAAGAAAATAGAAGCAGCGACAAGCTAAGAAGACGCTATGATGACGGGCAGAACGGGACCTCACTATATATATATACCACACAGTGACACTTGAAGAGGGGGGAATTAATTCGCTTTAACAAACTCTAATTGCTTCTTTTACAACATCTGTCTATTTGTCTAGCACGCATTTATTACCTCTATTAAGTCAGTTTCTGTGACGTTTATTTTCAGTCTCGAAGGATTCTAGGAATTATAATTACATCATCATATGAAGATATAATAATTCAAAGTTGTACTTCTCATAAGACAATATGAGGCGTACAATTCTGAAGCATACAAAATACATTTTTACTCGACGACGGTCGAAGCTACTAGCAAGATTATGTTTAGGTTCACCGCTTTTGAGGTATGTTACAATTTTTTGTGCGATTGGCTGGAAAGATTTTTGTTAATCCTAGACCTTTTGAAAGAAGACGACTGCAGGTATAATATATATATTTTTTATTAAGATAAGAATCCTAATAGAGCATTAAAACAAATTCTAGCTGCGTCCATGTGCGTCTATAATTTAAACAACATTTTTTAAATTTAATTACACTTATTCTCATGTCCCACAGTATCATTTAATAATACCCCACTTATCCCTGTTAAACAAATCCGATATCTTGGACTTCACTTGGACAAACGTCTAACTTGGAATCCTCATACCAGATTGAAACGACAAGAAACCGCTCGACGTTTCTGACTACTCCAACACTTACTAGACAAACGCTCTAAGCTTCCAGTTAATTACAAAAGACTTATATACAAGACTACAATAAGACCTATTTCGACTTACGGAGTTGAGCTTTGGGGCTCCACTAAGCCATCGAATTCCTCTCGTATCCAATCCTTACAATCCAAAATCCTTCGGAAAATCCTCAATGCTCCTTACTTTGTCACCAATAAAATAATCCATAATGACCTTAATGTTCCTTATGTTTCCGATTTGGCCCAATCCAGATACCAATCCTTCCATAATAAACTTCAGAACCATCCGAATCCTCTCGTCTCTAACCTTGCTTCCTCTTCTATTTCTGATAACCCTCCGAGGCGTCTGAAAAGAAGATGGCCTCGAGATCTCTTATTGTAAATACATTTTGTTTTTAGAGTGCTACCAGTGGGTAGTTTCTCAACAAGTCATTTCATGTTTTTATTTTATGTTATCAAATTTACTTAATGTATTTAATTTTTTAATACACTTGTAAATATCATGAATAAATAAAAAAAAAAAATTACACTTATTAGTATATTTCTAATGAACTCTATTTGATATGAAAATCTAATTGCCTAATTAACTTTAAAAAATGTTTCTTTAGCTTCTGTTTCCTTCGCTTTTTATTTATTTTTTTTGCTTAAAATTAGTTGAAGCAGATTACATTTTGCAAAAACATTTTTTCGGTTAAAACTCCATGGTATTTATTATCATACAATATGTAAATTAGTACATATTTAATTCATATTGTTTTAAAATTTATTAATACGAAAATTTTTAAAATAGTTTGACAGAATCAATTTTTGATATTCTGTTTATTGTATT